TGCATAAGTGCCCGATTTTGTTATAAACGCGGTTTTATGTATTTCTTCGGATCTCATAGCTATTTGATAGTAGCCAGACGTTAAGCCCAACGTAGTCATGTATCTCGTAGACTTAATCTTTCTAATAATTTCCTCTATAACCGGCAAAGGGTAAACTTGAATTTAGTAACACTATTAAGCTTTCTGTAATCGATAGCAAACCTCCAAGCCCTTTTATCCGAAGGAGTAAAGTCATTCTTTTTCCTACATAGTACGACTGGACTCGCGTACTCACTATTTATGGGCGTTATTATTTGGTTCTTTAACATTTCCTGAATGTGTTCTTCGATGATTTGCTCTTTCTGTTTATCGTAGCGGTAAGGTTTAGTCCTACAGGGTTTGTCGGCAGTTAACTGTATATAACGCGTAACAATTTGACAGTTACCAGGCCGTTCTGAAAACAAATTCGAAAAAGTACTCACCACTTGCTAGATGGCTTGACTTTCATGGTCATTCAAATGGCTAAGGTCGACTTGCGGTTGTCCACTTGCTCCACCACCCTCCGATCCATCTCCAGCACAATAGAACTTTCCTGAAAATTCAGTTTGGCCTTCGCGGCTTTTAAAAACTCCATACCTAAAATAAGTGGACTTTGCAAGTTTTTTTACTACAAAAATTAATACTTTAAGGCTTTCGTTTTTAACTTGTATTTGTAATGATAATTTGCCAATACATTGACAAGTTTGTCCTTGCACTGCTATGATTTCTGTGTTTTTATTTTTAAATAATCGTAACGTATTAAATTTCTTCTTAAAAAAAGTATCATTCATAAAATTACCTTCTGCTCCTGTATCGAGGAGGGCTTCTACTGGTACATCGCCAACCAGGACTTGTATAATCGGTAATTGTGAGTTTTTTACGACGACCGTATTTAAGTATCTTCTTGAGGATTTTTTCGAAACTTCCGGGGTCTGGACCCTCGCTTTTACAGGCCCCTCTACTCGTTTAAAGCTTTCCTTTCAACTTCTGCCTTCTTGGTACGCGGACGGTTGTTTTCAAATTTCCTTTTTGGGCCTTGACCTTCGAGCTTCGATGAGTTAGCTTGATAGCTCTTTCCCCCATAAGAGCGATTTGCGTTTCTGGTCTGCTCATTTGAAGATTGTCTACGGAGGCCTTGAGAATACGATGCCCCTCTAGCTTTTTCCGCTATTCTGCGGTTTTGGAACTTGACCGCCAACTCGAAGAGTTCCTGCAATGTGCTTGGGTTTCTAATTTCGAAATAATCTTGAACAGCAGATAACAATCTTGGTAAGATTTTTTTCAATAATATCCGCTTCGGGTTTCTTCCCATACATCATATCCATCAGTTTAATTTTTCGCAGATTAAAGTCCGTCAACTCTTCTATATTCCGTTGATAAAAACTCTATAGTTCGGCTTCTAGCTTTGCTCGGTCTTTCACTATGGGAAAGGCCTTTAATAATGATTTTTTTGAAATTTTCGAAGGTATATGTTTGGCCTGCGAATTTCCCTAATAAAAATTTACCTATATTCTTCCACCATAGCGAGGCCTGTCCTCTTAGTGCAGATGTGGCAATGGCAATTTTTGTCTTTCAGGCACAGGGTAGAGCTGGAAATGGTTTTCGAGGCTTTCTAAGAATATCGCCACCGAATTTTTTCCGTCGAAATTGACGTTTGGCTTGATTGATGCACCCATGGTCTGGACCAGGTATCCAAATCCTTCCAATTGGCTTGCCATTTCTTGTTGTTGGACTTGTCCAGAAGCTTCCATCCAGTTTTCGGCCATTTCAGTTCGACAAGTGTTCGGGCGCCAATGTGATATTGCGCGGCCCCAACCTACACGCAACAATAATAGTGACTGCTATGAACTGGAAAGTACACAAAACTCTTAAGAAGGGTTTAACTCCCTTTTTAATCTACTTTAGAAGTTACAGATGCGTGCACTTGACGCTCACAAACTACGCCGACCCGGCGGTAAAATAAAAATAAGAAACTAAAAATGAATAATAACAAGTTACTACCTACGAGGCTCTCTACGTAACTAACCTAACCGCGTTTTAAGATACAGCTGATATTTCAGCAAACTTCTCTGAATATTAAATTGAAAGATTCAACTATCTGCCGAGGCAAGCACACAGGCCGAAACGCGCGGTTCTTCAATTTCTACCTAGCCACCTTCACGCTCGTGAAGCAAGAAAGCACACTTACGAACTTGTTTCCCTTCTATTTAACTCAAATTACTTCCGCTGACAATTTGAATACTTTGCGCGTTCTACTAAAATTTACATACTCTGGCATTGGCAATTCCAGGGGAAAGTAAGGCTTGGCAGGAAAGATAGTTTAAACTTAAAATAAATGTTAGTTAAAATAAATATAAACCCTACAAAGTAATAGACCCGGGATAGGCAAAGCGAGATACAGCACTGATTTTCTGGTAAAATGTTCTCGACTCTTTTCGTGTTTTTAATTTCTCTATCTCATTAAGCTGTTCCTTCCAGTATGCTTTCTCTTTCATATGAAACAGTCTTTTTTTGTTCTCTCAACTCTTTATAATTTTCTCCTACTTCTATAGTATAGTATTTTGAATCATACGCTTATAAGGTTTGTTTTTCTCCTGAATAATTTTTGCACAATCACGAGCGTACCATCCATGTCGTTTATTCCCTTTCAGTTCTCGTATAACTTCCCTTGTAGTATCCTTAATTATTTTTTATATCTGTTTTCAGGAGAAGTCACCATTCTGTAAATCATCACATTTCAGTAGCCTTTTTTTAAATTTATTTCTATAATCTTTTATCGACACAGGTTTGCGCAATGAGTCAACATTCAAAACTCCAGTCATTTGTTGCCTATTCCAAAAGGTCTTACTTATCTTTTCTTTCAGCCTGAAAATCTTCAGAATGTGATCGGAGTCAACACTGGCTCCACGATAATTGCGGACATTCAAAAAGCACTTTTGGTGTCCTAGATCCACTAGGAGATGATCAATCTGATTTAATGTTTTTCCATCTGAGGAGCATATATGACTTTGTGTATATTTTTACGTTCAAAGAAGGTACCTAATATAATACGTTTATTTGCATTTGCAAAATCAATTAAGTCTTAAGCCATTATCACTACTTTCCTCATGTAAACTGAGATTACCCGCAGAGTTTTCCACTAATCTCATGCCAATCTTAGTATTAATATCACCAATAAACAGTTTTATATCATTTGAAGGGCATTTGCCATAGGAGGCTTCAGGTTTATCATAAAACTAATCCTTAATAGTATCTCATTTGCCCTCAGTAGATGTATGCATGCTGATAATACTAATATTTGGAAGACAAGCTCAAATCCGCACTTAACAATACCTTTCATTTATAGGTTTGAAGTCTATCATTCTGTCTCTTATTTTTCTAGTAACTACAAATCCTACTCCAAAGCAGTGCTGCTTATTCTGACAGCTATATAAAAAAACTGCCTCTTCTCTTATCCAAAATTCCTTGGCCAAGTCCCAAATGGCCAAAGTGTATAATTTATAATTCTCAAACATATCAACCAGATTTTAAACTGCTCCACCCTTATAGAGTGTACGTACATTCCAAGTACCAATATGCAATTCCGTTGTCGTTCTATGTCGTCTGGATGTTTTCCGTCCACGATTTAGCCCTTGAGATTTCTGAACTGGAATTTTGTTTACAGGATGAGGTAGTTAATCGCCCAACCCCCAACCTGGAGGACCAGCCCTCTGATGTAATCAGCTATACCCCCGGAGGTGGAGCTTATTATAAACATTTAAAAGTGGAAGTGAGTCTTTTGTTCTTTTGGTCAGTCACCAATAGAGTTAACATAAGGTCTAATAATGGAGCTTGCTGCAAGCATCTAAAAGTACAGTCATCAAAAAGAAGTTTACCAGAGAGTAAAAGAAGAACTATTGGAGAAGTTTGCCACAAGCTTTAAAAAGTGAAAATCAATCTCTTTCTTGGGGAGTCAGTATGAAAAGGTGACAAGAGAATCAGGAAGATGACTACATTTAAAAATTAAAATTGTATCTCATTCTTGATTAGTGAACAAGATAATCAAGAGAAGGGTTATTTAAAGATCTTGTTGTAAGCATCTAAGCCCTCTGTTAGTCACTCCCCCGAAAGAAAGTTACCAAAAGAATCAAGGGAAGGATTCATAGCGAAACTCTTCTTGACTCAACAGTGACGGTGGAATAGAAGTGCGTCTGAGCGACAGTTTTTGTTCCACTCAGTAAGTCAATGATTGGTCTGCAGGCAAAATGTCCTTTTATCGCTAATAATCCATGGCTAATAAAGGCAGAAATCAAGTATGTGAAGAGAGTATTTGAGCTAGATCCCTGCTTATGTCTCTTTACTTAACGTTCATATTAGAAATTCTTTTCATTAATTAATTTATTATTAATGATTAACTGTTCTGGTTTTTAAAAACACAGCATTAATATATTGATTAATAGCTTAGGCTAATAAATAAGCTACAGGGAAGTAACAGTTAAATTGTTATAACTTAAAATAGAAAGAAAAGAAAGAAAAGATTAGAACTTTTACCAAAACTTGCATTCATCTATATAGTTTGCAATTTTTACTTTGCTTTTTAATTAGCTGTTAATAAGTAGCTTATTGGGCTATTTATTTATTATTACTATATTATACGACGGAAAATCAGTGGAAGCGCCTTTAGTTGAATCATTTTTTTTCAGATACCTCTTTTTATATCCAAAATCTAATAATAGCACTACATTATTAGTTTTCAGAAATTTAAAAATTTAGGTCACCATCGCTGCTCAAAAAATGCTTATGATGCATTTCCATAACTTTGTTCAGTTTGTTATACTTGGTACATCATGATGAGATTTCATATTATTATAATGAAACTTACTTCAGTTTGCAAATATAAAATTAATGTATGCATTGCAGTCATGTGATGAAACCATACAAATTAAAAGACATACTACTTGCTTCAGATCTTAATATTTTTCTTTCGCTGCTTTCTGTTTTAGGTATCCCTTTCTTTATTGTATTGTTGTCGTGCTTGGTGCGGCCGGAGGAAATGATCAGGGAGAAGTAGTGAGTATTCGTCTTAGCAATAAACTTACACGCATTTCATTTTCAAAGATTAAGAAGCATTTATACTATTTGCGTTTGTATCAATAAGTTAGAAACTAACCCTTAAAACTTATTAGTTCCAATCTAAAACTCTTATTTAAATTTAAGCTGTGTTTCCCATAGTTAATCATCGCTGGTCTCATAACCCACTTTTTTGAAGTTATTTCTTCCAAAATTTAGTTTTCGCAAGAGTAACATATTTCTTACTTACTAATGTATTTATCTTGTATATATATTTGGTCCGAAATAAACAAGTGAATGTAGAACTTCTTTCTAACCCTATGCAAAGACCTTCTTTCTGACCATATAGTACCTTCTTTCTGATCCTGTAGTATCTTTCTGGCTTTCTTTCTGACCTTATTGTATCATAAACATCTAATAATATTCTAAATTTGATAAATAGTTTGAACTACTTTTGACACTTTCTAAGGTTCCTCACTCTTTTTGTCTAAGATGAACTTCGAGGAACCTAGTGAACTGTTTAGCGACTTATCGCTCAAGCAACTAAAATGTAGACTCCAGAAGGGTTAAAATACTTTTTTTTTCCCACTCAAAATAAGAATATTCGGGCTTATTATTCGGGCTCTACTCGGGCTTTAACTCGGAATAAGAAATAAGAAACTAAACTACAATTAACTTAAGAAGACTCAGCCGAAGCTAAACACAAGTATCCAACGTAGTTGACCCTTAAATTAAACTACCCGGCAAATATCAATAGGCACGTATAATACGGCCGAACGTAATAGCTTCTAGCCCGACAGGGAGTTATAGGTGAAAATAAGAATTGATTGGAAAGGGACGTTAAAATTAAAAATAACTGTTATAAAATTAAAATATACCTTATAACTTTCCTCTCTTTTTTTTTCTTCCAGAAACTAGGGAGTATAGAACATCTTTCTGATCCTGTACAAAGACATTCTTTCTGACCCTATAGTACCTTCTTTCTGACCCAATACAAAACCCTTCTTTCTGTCCCAATACAAAAACTTTTTTCCTGACCCTATAGTACCTTCGTTTAGTACTTTTTTCCTGTCCCTATAGTACCTTTCTGATCTAATAGTTCTTTGTATTTAATGAACAGTATGGGCTACTTTTAACACATTCCTGTTTTTCTTTTGGAAACCGAAATATACGAGTACCATAAACTTGTGAAGTGCAAAAGACTGGACGTTACCAATTTTTATGTTGCTGCAGTTTGGGATTTCGGGGTGTAATGTAAATTCAAAATCGTTTTACAAATAACTCGACCACAAAACTAATAGTATATGTTAAATAACTGAAAATATTATTATTAATTTTTGTGATCTAAATATACATTAGTTAAATTTACTAAAATTGGTATCCAATTTGTAAAGCAATTCTTAGTAGTCTCTCTCTGCGCTAAAAGCAAGTTCAGGTCAACTACATCATCCTCCATTTCACCACAGGCATCGTTATTCTACCTTGTAGAGGTTATCATTTTCAGTTTCGTACATAGCAGCATCAAAAATGATAGCTTTAAAATCTAAAAAAATTTGATCTTTTTTGTCCAGATATCTTTCACTATACTGTCTCAATAAAAACTCTGTTTTATTGGTAAAACAGCATAACTAGCAGGATAAAGAATCTTGCGAATGCTTAATGGTTGTGACTGCTGAAACCCAGATAAAATTCGCCTCGCTGTTGCCTAAATGATGCGTATTCCAAACATTCGGATAGAATCTTAAGTAAGTAGAACTGCCACTCGTATTAAATCGTCTAATAGGTCTGTTTAGTTGGACAAAACATCGTTCGCACATTTGGGATTATACGTAGCTGGGTTTATACGGCGATTTAAAATTCCGCTTATACGTTTGTCTTGGCTGAATTGTTGTCTCAATATTTCTCGTGTCGACGTATACTCGGATCCGCTTATATTCGGAAATATACCGCATAGCAGCTGAACGTGAAATATGAAAAACTTTATATGCTCGCCCAAAAATGTCCGGAAGGTTTTCGAGCTGCGCGGTGATGCCATTTCAAAAGAATACCAAATTGACAATTCACTTTACGCCGCATTGATTCGATACATTGAGTTATTCGTAATAGGATGTAAAATATATTTATGTTTTGTTTAATTGGATTTCCTAACTTTTGTGTTTTTGGCTCTGATTTTATCTTTTTCTTTCCCTTTTGCACAGAGAAAAATCGTTTCTTCTTTCCTAAAGGAATTCATTTATTCATCAGAATACTTTTTAATATGATGAAAATAAAGATTAATGTACATATACTATTTTATGGATAAATGTATTAATGCACCATTTATTGATTTAAAACTAAATTAAATACATCTATTAGCTTATTTATTAATATACAAGGTGAATCTGAACAAGTGGGCAAAACGTTAGGGGTGATAGAAAGCAACTTTTGGTGATAGGAGCAATATTCATCATAAAATGTATGGTCGGAACACAATCGGCGAAATGCCTAGGTGACAGTGTAAATGGTATAAAAAGGGTCGGTCATCGCACCCAAAGCATTAAAACTTTATTATTTGCACTCCCATTTTATGCCACATGCCAATGAGCCTATTAATTGTAAAATCTTTCCTCTCCGCTTTATGCTTTTCTGTTGTATTGCGTATATAAAAAATATAAAATACTCAAAAAATTATAAAAATTAAAAATTCAAAAAAAAAAATGATTAAAAAGCTAAAAACTTACAAAAAATTATGTATTAAGTTTTTAAAATTCTAGCTATCCCTAACCTTTCTCGAGCCATGTGGCTTCCTCTAGTAAGCATCAAGTTTACTACTTATGCAATTTTCCTATTTCTTCTCGCTTTTATGTAATTCTGATGAGGAGGTTCATGGTTTTGAACCATAGGCAAAGATGGTTCAAAAGGAGATTCTTTGCCTATGGTTCAAATTCTTTGCCTATGGTCTCTCCTTAGAGATTCTTTGCCATAGGCACTCCGTAATTTTTAATCAAACGTCGCGGTGGGATGCACGATTCTTCTTGACTCAATTGAAGTATCATTTTTTGCTCGTTCTCCCATGATGGCCAAAGATCCACCGGACAGATTCTGGCACAATAGCCATAATAGTGACGACGACATGGAAATCTGGAATCTGATTATTCCACAACTTCAGCAAATAGCACCAAATTTAAGTTACAAGACTTTATTAAGGACAATAATTCTTCAGGAAATAAATCAAACGAAGCTAAATGACTTAAACATTCGTCTTCTTCACCTAGTAACTCAAGCTCATAGGAAGCAATAATCAAAAAATATAAAATCGTTTTTCCCAACTTAATGACAGGACAAAAATAAAGCTGAAACTTAAATCGAACTCCTATGCCGACCCCTCCCAGCCAAGTTAATGCTCACGCTACTGCACCCCTAGAAGAATTCCTTCAAATACATACAGAAAAAGTGACGAAAGCCATTGACTTACAAGATGAAGGAAAATTAGAAAATGAAAACGTTTGCAAAATTATTAAGGAACATCTACAAATAAAACACGAAGTACAAGCACACATTAATACTTTAGCTCAGCCTCAATCCAAACCCACAGCAAATACAGATAAAAGTTCAGAATCGAGGACTCCTACCAGAACTTGTAAACCTAATGCAGATTATCGGTTACTTTAGACTAAAGATACTCATTAAATCAGGTAAATGAGACGGCTCGCTTGAAATTGACTGACAAGAAGTTTCTTTAAAGGTATAAACATTTTATTTCAATTATTTTCAACAAAAACGCTTCATTATAAACTCATATCTATTTTTTAAATCTTGAAACTACTGTTCTAATCATAGTCTCGCGATAAACTGAGGCGTTGCTACGCTTTTTCAAACAAATTATTAACTGAGGTAATTTACTTACCATAAGTGGCGCAACATTCTTCCCACTTGAGTTTTTTGACAGAAAACTCAACAAAATATAAACATTAAATGTAAACTTTCAAAAATACATGAAATATTCAAAATATAAAATGTCTATTTCAATTTAATTTTCACATTATTTGAATGTTTGGCAACTTCTAAGGGGTACATTATTGGTAGGAAGATCTTGTAGGAGCGAAGATGGTGTCAAAATTCTTAAATCTGTTTTTTCTGATACATATGTCAAAGACCTATGATTCATAATTGATTGACATTCACAGACGAGAGTCAAAAGTTCTTCGTAAGTCAGAGATTGAACGTCTTAAGTTTTTTCTGAGGAAATCTTTAAGTATGCCGATTAGTCTTTCCCAGAATCCTCCACGCCATGGGGCAGATGGTGGGTTCAACTTTCGTTTGATTTGACTAACTTCAAATTCTCTTTGAATTTTTGTCCAATCAAGCTGTTTTAAGGAGGAGCTACGAATAAAATCAGCTACGAATAAAATTACACCGTGATTGCTATCTTGAACAGCGTTTTAGAGAGAAGAGAATAAAATAAATAAACTGATTACAGCGATTATAATTTCTTTCTTCTAAATATGCAATTAAAAATACTAAGGCATAAATTAATTCATCATTCATTTTTGAATCATATTATTTGAATGTTTTTATGTTTTTTTGAAATATCTTATTAATTTCACATCATAACCCATTTTAACCTATTAATAAATCATAACCCATTTTAAAGATCGGGTTTACAATATGTTTAATTTTAGTTGCTGGCCATCAAATGAAAAAGGCATGATATGGAGTGTCATGGCACCCATTGGGATTATTATTTCGGTAAATAATTTTCTGCTCATTTCTGTTCGCAAATAACCGCAAAAATGCAAACAACTAAATCAAAACACATTTTCTAGGTGAATTTTATTATCTTTGGCCTGGCTTTGTTTACAGCTTCCCGAATTGATAAAATGAACTCCACAAGTAATACTTATAGAGAAAAGAAAACGAATATGGTGTAAGTAATACGTTTTACATCTTAATTTTGTACATTTTACATTTAATTTTCTTTAATTGTATTTTAATTTGTAGTTAATTATTGTAAGCGATTCTAATAACCCGTAAACATATTTCCTGTAAGGCTAGAGCTAATTTTTATCAGAATTGTATGCAATATTAATTTTAATATACGTAAGATTTATTTAAAAAATATGTGTAACAGTTATTAAAAAAAAGAGACTTACTAATATTTGCTTTTTTAATGGTAGTTTTGAAATTTTGATTTTACTGTAGATGCTAAAAAGAAGTTCACAACATGGAAAATAAAAAATTCTAAACAAATGATCTGTGATCAGAGTTTGGGGATATGCTCAACTCAGAGTTTCAGTTGACTATAAGATACTGAGACATTCATATTCCTATCTTGTTTGAAATGTAAAGTTGGATTAGTGTTGGTAACAATTGAATTCGCATTTTATTATTGTCGTAAATGAGGAAATCTGGATCATTTAATGAAATTAAATTCAATGCAAAATTAAGTAGATAGATCTACAGACTTCTTTTTAACATTCCGTAGAAACTCTCTTACCAATAAGGAAAAGATCTCATGTGAACATCATATGACTTCCTTGTACGGCCTATTAAATTATACAATTTTTTTACTGCATTTCGTTTAAACTTATTTCCTCAAATTTCATTACAGATATATTTATCATTCAATTAATTCAGTTCTCACTTTGCGGCAAGGCAAAAATGCATAAACTCTCAAAACATCCTCATTAAAAATTGAGAAATGTAGTAAAACCTAAAACACCAAATGCAATTAAAACAGTTAAAAAATTTTTCTACAATTAAAATTAGAATTTCGGCACAGAAACAAGCAATTCGGCCAGCCAGTAAGAAGGCAGATTTTTCGGTGCACAAAACTGAAGACACTGAAGGTATAGAATCTGACTTAATTCATTGTTTTGCTAAGTTTCAAATGTAAACAAAAATGGCTGCAAAATTAGGCTTAGTCGCACTTAAACAACTTTTAAATTGTTGATCATTCTACAGCTATTGCATGCAGATTAACTAAAGGTATAAAAACCTTAACAGGAGCATAAGAAAAACATATTTCAATCATTTTTAAAGCAAACAATGCACAATTTACCAACATATAAGAATAAAACTAACTGAGCTCACCTAGCCGAGTAACAGAATGAATATATATATATATATATATATATATCAACCGCACCGGCCTCACAAAAACTATATATATATATTTGGTGCGGCCGGTTTGAACCAAAAAGGGACCTGCACAGCAATATGTTATAGCAGTCCTACATTCAAATTTCAACGTTCTGATATTACTCGTTATGCGAGATACATATATACGTACGAACGGACAGCACGAAAATATCTCTTCTGAATCCATTTTAAATCCAATTTATAATTTGTTTTAGGAAAAAGAGTCATTTATTCTGTCCTTACGTACATATGTTATGCAAAAACATCGTTAAATTCCATTCGATAGTGGTCAAAATGGATATTTTCGTTGAAATAGGATACCCGAAATACTTTCTTTACTTCGTACAAGGAAGTAAGAAGGATGGGAAAGAGAAAACCAGGTAATGTTGGGCCAACTCCTTAAATGACAAAGGTAACTGAGGTGTCAAAGAATGTAACAAATGAGTAGCCTCCTGTTTATTTTAAAATTGTTCTAGTTTAGTTACTGAATTTGTCAAAAGTATAGTCATTCTTGATTATTTTTCATAAACTGACTTTGTCTTTGGAATCTCGGTGACAAAATAATGTTAGCTTTTGTTGCACTTGCTGTTATATGTGAAAGAAGTAACACATTACAATTACTTGAAAAACCAAGCCTTCCCAAAAAGTCTACTATATGTTTTGCAAGTACACATTGTCTCCAACAAGCAAAAGATATTCACTGTAATTTTGGAATAGAAATTTGAAAAAGTAACAACATTTTTTGTTGCTAGTTTAAGCTAAATTATTACATCTTTAAAAGAATGAACTTAAAAAAAAATACAAATATTAAAACAAAAACCTCATTCACTCTTGTGAAATTCCTTGAAATAGATGAAGTGGAATCGCATCGTAAAGGCAAACAATAGAGTTTCTTAACTCTGATATTTAAGAGAGGTTAGAAAATATCTTCTGCATTTATTTACTTCTTTTAAGAAGTAAATGAAGTTATGTAATCGCGAAAAAAATCTGGCATCATATTTTAACGGAAATATCCATTTATTCCTTTCCCGAATCCATTTTGACTATTTTTATTGCGTAATGTCTATACTTACGGACAGAATAAAGGACTCTTTTTCCAGAGCGGGTTGTAAAATGGATTTAAAATGGATTCAAAAGGGATTTTTTTCCTTGACGTCTGTCTGTACGTAAGTACGTATGCATGTATATTGTCAAAAACGATTAGCCGTAGGACACTGAAATTTTGTATATGTATATGTATAAATATACCCACCCCCTTACCCAGCTTTAAAGCACCTAACCGGCCTTTTCCCTAATCGTTGGTCTAGTCCTATACTTCCAGTTACAGAACTGTTTTAAACAATGAAAATATTGAAGTTTGAAAATTTCAAATTAAAAAAAATTAATTCTCGACAAATAATAAAACCTAACTTTTAATGCAGTTTCTTGGTTCCTATACGTATATTTGAGATCGTTTTATACTCGTTATGAAAAAATAAAATTAAGAAAGAGTTTGACTTACGTACGACAAAAAATGATCGGGATACTTATCTTTAAAATCATTTCATTTTGCTTTGAGGAATCGGTTAATTAAGTTATAATAATTCGTGAAAATAAGTTTAAATGAAGAGCAGGAAAAAATGTTTATATTTTAGTGGGCCGTACAAAGAAGTCACGTGGTGTCAACTCTAGATTCGTTTGTAAAATATAAAACCACGCGCCGAGAGATCTTTCTGATAACAAATTTGACGACGAAACAAATGTCATTGTTTACGAAATTGTGAGAAATGATCCTTATATCGGTTAAATAAAACAAATGCTATCATGCTTCTACTGAAGCTCAGATCTAACGCCTAAATTCTACTAACCACTTTTGGAAATGACGTAAATATTGGAAAAATGTAAATAAATAGCAGTCGTCTCCTTGCGCCAGCACAATCCTAATGCCCTCCTTCAAAACAAAACTTATTTGTTACAGTTTGAACAAAAGCAATGAAGACATACCTCTTAGTGCCACTTAGGTTTAATTCTTTTTCAGTGTATTCCAGCACCTCGAATATCGCAAGCTCGTTTTCAGGCAACGTCGCAGTGAGTTTCATAAATATTTTTCGCTCTTAAGCTAAAACGTATCTTCCAAACAATCAAACAACGAAGTAGGGAAAGCCCCAGTATCATACTGCCATTCAAAAAGTTCATAAAGGTTAGACATTATAATATGAGAATTTAACACACTATTGATTTTATTTCATTCTCATTATCATTAAACCATATTAGGCTGCACTTGAACATTATCTGTCTTTAATCGGGAACTCATCATTAGGGATATTTTCTGCCCTAATTCTGTGCAGTTCTAAAGAAATACTCAAATAGACCTCAATTGTTAAACAATCCTTTAAAATGATTATTAAAATCATAATCAGAACTTTTCTGCGTGCTTCATTACAGAAACCAGTCAGTCAAGTTGATATACTTTTGCCCAAAGCCTCCATACATAAGGAATTTCGTAATGGAAAATAAATTAAATGATTTATAGTCGAAACCATTGCATGTTTTTATCTATCAAGGTAGCGTATCTATTATTGTATTGAGTATTATATGAAATTTTCGATACTGCTACTATTATAAAGCGATTTGCATTTTATGTGCTTTTTAACGTTGAATTCGTGAACTACGTATATGCACTCTTTTACAAAAAACTCGAAGCATCAAGAAAGACTATTGCGATCGTGACGAAATTCAGTATGCAAAAACATCTTGATCGAGCATGCAAATGATTAAAGTTTCAAGGCAAATGAACAGGAATTGCGATCATAGCGCACCTTTCTAGTGCACAATTCGCAAAGTATAAAACCTGTAACAGAGGTGGAAAATTTATCTTTTTTTTGTTGCTGCTATTGTAATTCCCTGAAGAAGCAACTATAGATGCCATTACGACGATATCGAAGACGTTAGAGACAGCTAAAAGACTTCGAACATGGTCGCATTGTAGGGCTGCGTGAAGCTGGGTGGTCATACCGAGCAATAGGCCGCCACCTGCAGCGTACAGACACTGCTGTGCAAAGATGTTGGCAGAAATGGTTGCTACAAGGAAGGAAAGGCCTGGAAGGCCAAGGATCACAAATGCGAGACAAGCTAGGATGATTGTTTGTCAGGCCCGAACCGCCGCGATGGTATCATTGTTGACTATCCAACGCTCTTACAGCCACTTCTATACCTCTCGTGGTAAAGGTAAAGGTAAAAGTATCATCAGCGATGTACCATAGGTCAACTGGTAATGCCTTCCTATACTAACTCTTAAAAAAAAAGGGGGGGAATTGCAAGTTTTATAGGAATTTACATAGACTGAAGCTTTCCAAAAGGTCTAGAGTTTGCCTATTATGGTACATCGTGCAATCCCACAGTACGCCCTGCATCCAGTATTTAATTCAAATAATGATGTAGGAAATAAGTAGATTACAAAATAGTCGGAATACAATTTGAGATTCACAAGATAAATTGAACATCTGATTTGGTGCAACAAAAATAGGAGACAAACATAGTTAATAAACAGATGAGCATAATGAGATAATTGTAACTAGTACTGGCAACACAATGTTAAAATGAATTGTAATAATAATGTTAAAGAGGTGGGTGTCCATGGGTTATTTCAGATGTATTGGTTTATTGCAGTTTATAAAGTTCACGACGGTAGCCATTTTATCCATAATCACAGCATGCAAAAGTTTACTAAGCAGTATGCGGACTTATACTTGACAGAGATCTAGGCCTTAGGAAGAGAGTCGTTGCGTAATTTTCTGAAACTTTCGATACTGATGTTTATCTTTAATTAAAAGCCTTTGGAATGCTAGGAGATCAGTTCTTGGGGATTTTATGTGAATATACCGTCCACCATCTCACAGCGCTTTCTGAGGCGGGGTTACACTCACAGAGGCCTTTAAGATGTTTGCCTTTGACCCCACAACCTCGGCGGAGTCGTCTGGAGTGGTGTCGCAGCTGAACATCATGGCTGCCCTCAGACTGGCATCGTATAATGTTCAGCGATGCCACTTCACTCTTAAAGCAGATGACCTCCGCGTTCGTGTCTGGGGAGGACGGGGCCACCGGTTCCAATCAGCCTTTGTTTTACAAAGGTATACAGCGATAACCCTTGGTGTGATGGTGAGGGGCACTATTTCTTATGACAGCAGGTAATCTTTAGTCATCCTCCGTACATCTTTAACAGCTCAACGATATATTAATACCATCCCGCTGCCGGCTGCATTACCCTTCATGGCACATCATCCTGGGCCCTTTTTCCAACAAGATAATGCCAGGCCACATACCGCTTGCATATCTCTGGACTGTCTCCGTGCGGTTGATGCTCTTCCTTGGCCAGCAATATCCCCAGACCTTTCACCAATCGAGGATGTCTGGGAGGAGCCGCCTGATTCGGGAACTACAAAATATCGCAGATCTGTAGTGACAACTGATGAATGCCTGGCAGAATGTGTCGCAGGATGACATTAGGAGCATCTACCACTCCTTGCCTCGACGAATTCAAGCGTGCATTGCCGCCAGAGGCTGTTCGACCAACTACTGAATTTGAACACTTAATGGGTGATTTGAATCGTGAATAGGTACTATGACCTTGATTTTTAATCATTTTATTAACTGTGTATGAGGTATACACATATTCAGTTTCATCAAAAAACAACCACTTCCTCCAGGGTGCTTCGATTTTTTTTTGCAAAAGAGTGTATATATTTTTCTACTTGCGATTTGAGTTCTTTAGTTAAGCAACTCTGTCCATCTACACTCTGCTGAGCTGTTATTTTGATCGTACACATTATTTACTGAACAATACTACCTCATTTTTTATGTGAATAATATCTGCATATATGTAAAAGAAATATGTTTAATGGTTTAATAGTTAACTATAAATTTTAATAGTTAACTATAAATTTTAATTGAATTCTACTGTTGCTATACACAGAGTTTCAGTTCGGTAATTAGGTTTTAAACAAGTAAAACAAAGCTTGCCTCTAAAATACTTGCGGTAGTTAGTAGTTAGTTTTTTGTTTCAGCTGTTTCACATTCCCATGCATATGAAGAAATTTATTTCCTCAGATCCCATACATAGAAATAAATTTTAAATATGGTAAATGTATATATGTATATATTATACGTAAGCTTGAAATTTGAGCTGCTGATTTAAATATTGTAGAGCTTCGATTCCAATAAGTAGACTTTACAAATGCCTGTAGTGATAATTTTTTTTCTTATAAAAATTTAGTGCCTAAAACAAATATACTTTCTTTTTTTGAACGACAGGAAAAGACTAAAAGGTATGGCTTCCTTGATGTGCCTTCTAGGATTAACGTGGGCTTTTGGATTCTTCCATGTTCCTAACAGTCCAGCTGTTTCTGCATATATTTTTGTAATCCTGAATGGTTTGCAGGTAAAGTTAGAGTTCATATTGAATATTCAATAAGCTTAAACTAATGTTAACTTAATAGCATTATTGTATAAATATAATTCTAAAACATTTTCTCGACAGTAGAATCATATACAGAACGACGCACGCTGTAATTACCTATCTGAGATAGCTGTCCTGTGAGGGATACAGACCATGTATGGGCCACCATATGTGGGGCGTACCTATAACCGTGCAAAGCTATGAGTTAGGCAATCATTATGCCATGGACCGTTCACCAGAACAATTGCACATTGAGGCGATAGAAGCCTTCAGTCAAGTATAATGTGTCACAGACGCTCGCGGGTGCTGTGGTGGAACACTGAAAATCGTCAGAATTATGGGCGAGACAGCAGGTATCCTTAATTTGATTCCAACAGGACAGCGAAACTGTACTCCAATATCCATTTTTAATTCATCTGATTTCTTTCCTTGGTGATTTGACTTAGACAGTCCTCTGCCGAAGTGTGACACATTTGGGTTACCTTCTCTGAGATTACTTAAAGAAAAGCGTCTTCACACATCATTATATGCTATTGCAAAGTCTATGTCGAGTTGCGTCATGGAAATCTTTACACGTTGTCTCTAAAACTGAATCCAAGCAGAAAGCCGACATTTAAAGACATTCGCCAAGTAGATAATAAAAATTGCCACCAATGCCCTTCATTGCGGTTTATGCCTCTATCTCAATTTCTAACTTTACAATGTAAACGCCAATCAATTAAAAATGTGATAATCTACAACATAATACATGAAAAGCGGCCATAAATTTGCTTAAACAGTAACACTAACTAAAATGTTATATAAAAATCCGACCAAAAAATAATAATAAATAAATGAAAACAAATAACACTTAATACTGTCAAAGTAACAGAAAACCAAAATACAATCATAGAAACACAAAACTTTACAAAACTTTATAACTGTCATCTATAATTACAGACAATGGTCTGCGATTGCTTTTATAAACTATATGTAAAGTTTTTCCCCAAAACCCATAAACATACGCTTATATTTATTTCACCCATGGCTCCAGTTTAAGAAACGTTCAATTTAAAAAATAAAACAGACTTTCAGACTACGGTATTTTTGAATAAATGAAATGTCTCAATGGAAACACTCTGAACACAAATTATAAATATAAAATATGATTTCATAGATTAAATAATCAAAAAAAAAAAAGCGGCCATGCTCAGAGTTACCTTAAATATCCTCAATCCAAATTTGAGGGGTAGAGTGTGTGCAAGATTTTAAAAGCAAATTTCTAAAAATTATTCATTAAACAAGCCTGATTTAAAAACTTCATTTTTAACAAATAATCCATTATATGATGCAAAACATTTTTTTTTATTTTTATTTATTTATTTATTTATTTATTTTTGAAAACATACAGAACTTTCTCAGCATCCATACACAGGATGATTAAAAAATACCTGGCAAAAATAAATATAAAAAAAAGCAGTAAATTTGCAAGTAAAAAGCAGTAAATTTGCAAATCAAGTTGTGAAATGTGTGTGCTGAAAGGCCTGTTGAAATAATATAGGGCACTGCTGAGGTGTAGGCAAAAGTATTCTGCTTGCGGAAATCGCCATTTCCTTTGCGGTTTTTGAGACGTATGCATCGTCACAGGAACGCGGAGTTCACCGATGTGCATGTTATCCATATACAGGGTGATCAGCGAATAAGCCCTGATTTTAAAATTGAATATCTCTACAACAAAAATCGATAAAATTATGCGGTAAACTGTACATTTATTAGCAAAACTGTAAAAATGGTGTGCAAAAGTTTAGAAAATTTAGTTACGAAAATCGTTAACAGATGGCGCTCTGTGCTGAAAACTCTTTCTTTGAAAGAAGTAAAAAAAAAATTAATTAAAAAAATAAAGTGAAGCAGCCTTTTCAATCAAAATGCAATTTTTTCAAAATGTTCACCGTTCTAAACAATGTGGTGGCGTAAACGAACAATGAAATCTGACATCACCTCTTGCAATGTCTCGACGGAAATGGAATCACATGCAACACCAATCAACGATTCAAGCTCATCTAGAGTAGCAGGATTGTTTCGATAGACAGCGTCTTTCAATGCGCCCCACAGAAAGAAGTCACAAGGACTCCGATTGGGAGAATATGAAGGCCGAGCTATTCCTATGTCAGTAAATTGAGGATAATCTAACGCAATTACTCTATTCTCAAAGTATTCATGAAGAAAAGTGAAAAACTTTATTTGTTCGATGTGGTCGAGCCCCATCTTGCAGGAACCAGTCGATACTTGGTCGATCCTCCAACGCTAGTTGAGTGCTCACGAATTGTTCCAAAATTGTAACGTAACGTTCAGTAGTTATCGTTTCTCGTACGAAAAAGGGTCCGATAATGCCTCTGGCCTTTGGCTAGTGAAAAGAGGCTAACGTAGAAAGTGAAATAATGTATTCCATTGAACAACGTCTATTTTGGTTCTGGAATTTCACACATTAGAACACAGTCCTATTGCAACACGTCGTAGTTTTCAAAACCGATTCAATGTTCCAATTGAACCCGATGCGAAAACCATTCGCATGCTCTTCGCGAAACTCGAATGGACTGGCAGCGTGGCTGATGATCAAAAGGGAAATGTTGGGCCTAAGCAAACTGTAGTCACTGCTGAAAATGCAGCCAAAGTTTCTGGATTTGTTCAGCAAAATCCTAGGAAAAGCATCCGACGGGTTGCATCAGAGACAGGTTTGAAGCATCGGGTCCAACTGGAACATTGAATCGGTTTTGAAAACAGCGACGTGTTGCCGTAGGACTGTGTTCTGATCTGTGAAATTGCAGAACCAAAATACATGTTGTTCAATGGAATACATTATTTCACTTTATACGCTAGCCTCTTTTCACTAGCCAACAGTTATACTGATCATTTTCGACTTCGGAGCACATTTTAAAGGCCATTGAAAGGTCATTGAGATTAGAGCGCCATATGTTAACGATTTTCATAACTAAATTTTATAAACTTTTGTACACCATTTTTTCAGTTTTGCTAATAAACGTACAGTTTACTGCATAATTCTATCGATCTTTGTTGTAAAGATATTTAATTTTGAAATCAGAGCTTATTCGCTGATCACCCTGTAGCTCCAGACAGAAAGAGAACAGTTACTCAAAAGAAGTATTCAGGAATCGCTCTCTATATAGGTATAGTTAAAAGTGAGCTAGACACCATATATACACTATTAGTCGCACACGTATCATCCTACCTCACTAACTGTACAAATCCGCCCCAGTTTTGAAGAGCACTCCGGGGTGGGGTGATCCGAGAGTCTCCCATCCCTCTTCTCTTGCTACGAATCTCTTGACAGGACTTTCGGCTTCTCGACAGGGCGCCTGTTTGCCGCAAAGGTTTTATATGCTTACAAACATCCATGCTTTCTACAGGATTCGAAACTGGAATCTTTGGTAGAACACACAGCTTTACTAACCACTACACTGGCTTGGCGGCAGTGGAACCTCTGACAAATAATGCATCACTTCACAAATAAATTACTATTTGAACAAAAGCCTCGGATGGCGAATGCTGTCTCGAAACAGCTTTTGTTGCAATAATTTCAGAAACAGAGCAGAAGGCAACTGTGAAAGAAATGCCTTCAGAAGAAAAAGAAAAAGAAAGAAAAATTATCCTAATTCTCTAATCCACGAAATCTGTTCAATGTTGCTAGGATGCAAAGTTTTCATGTAACGATATCACCATGGTAAATCAGTAGCATGCTACAAAGTAAGAATTTTCAGTGTAATGCCGTGTTTCCCTTTAGAAGCCTTTTAAAATGAAGCAACCAAACATTACATTGCACAAATTTCAACTGAAACAGATACTCACTAACTCTCAAGCAGAATCAACAAATACTTAGACATAAGGACAATAAAAAAGAAGATATACTTTAAAGAAAGTTATTAGATGTTTTTGTGGAAGTAAATTTTGCATTGAAATAGTATCTTTCTAATTATTTTCCACTTATGCCGTCTCTTTTATATACTCTCCTTTGTTTTAGCCACAATTCCATAAATAAAACGCTTTTTCGTGAGTTTCACTTTTCAGTAGCGATGCATACCACTCGATGTTGTCATTATTAAACAGAAGATTACATCGGTGTTATAACAATTTACGCCAGTAAAACACTTTGACCTACGGCTCAAGAGCTCCAGCACAACTTCAAAGCACAATTTCTGCACACACAGTTCGTTGCAAAATTCACTTACTTCTGTCTCAGAAATGTTTCAATTTTATTTTTTTGTGAATTACTATTTTTCAGGGAGTGTATCTTTTCTTGACTCAAATAGCTTTGAATGAACATATCCGGCACAAACTCCTCTTCGCCTACAAAGAGAAGGCCGCTCAATTTTCCTCTGTTGTGAGTATATCAGTCATTTATTTTTGTTTGTTTATTTAAATACGGCAAAGCAGATAAAAGCTATCAAGTAAATGACATCTTCTTGAAAGTTTTCTAAGGCAAGCTTGGTATTTATTTCACATCTGGGATAACACCCAGTCGCTGGAATTCATGTCGAAATAGCAGCGTTCGCCTATCTTACCCATACAGCCATTAGTGGGATTTAGTTACTTAACAGATGGAAGCCTTTTATTATTGTACGTATGCTTGGTATTTTTTTTACTTCTAAATCCTAAAATCGTGATCATAAAGCATTTGTTTACGATATTTGTTTACATGAAAAACCTAAGAGAGCGGTCTGATCTGTGAATTTGTAATTTAGAAACTTTTAAAGCGAAGCCACTAGTAGGTATTCGTGATACAAGTGAAATAAACGATAATTTAGGGCTTTGTACACGCGCGAAAAAACAACGGGAGACTTCTATATCTCCCGTTCTACTGGGCCGATTGAAAAAAATTCAAATTTCGTTTTTCATGTCTCCAAAACGCGTCTTAGGATGTATATTAGATTTATAAATAGCACTGTTCTAACGTAGGTATTTTGACACAAAATCGGACTTTTTCTGAAATCTTATAGCAGATTTTTTTTTTCATATTTCGATTCTACGACTGAAATTATGCCTAGATATTAAATTTTGTAATATTTGGTGCGAAATTTACGAAGAAATTCAAAAATTTATTTCGGCGAAAATTTTTCAGTTTGGCCAAGAATAATTCACTTGCTGAACTTCTTAATATATGGCAATCAATTTTCCTTTCCCTTCCATTACGCCGGAGTGGGAAAAAAGGCACCTCGTTCCTATCTTTTTACATTGTACATGAGCGGAAAAAAAGTCACATCATTTCTACTTTCAAATAATTTTAGCAAAGTGTTTTAACCGCATTTGATGTTTTATCGCTTTCAACAAATATGCCAAAGTTCACGTATATCTTCGGAAATTTTGAATAAAAAATTGTAGTTTTTTTTGCAGGTATGCTAGAAAATACATCAACTTTAAGATGATGGCAAAAATTTTATAGATTATAATTCCCAATTTTTTTTTTTTTTTTTGAAAAATGTATAAAAATTATTTTAAAATACAAATTTTAAAAATAAATCATAAAAAATGAGTGAATTTTATTTGGAATGAACCTGAATTTCGAAATGTGAAAGGAAGAATCAAATAAGCTTAACTAAAAAAGAGAGATTAATAAATATATACCAAACTCAATTATCATTTAGGAGCTAAAATTTTTAGAGATAATTTTTTAAAAACTACTCGTGCGATTTTTACAAAACTTGGTAATTTGGCGTAATTTGAGTCGTAGAATTGAAATATAGAAAACTATTGGTATGTTAATTCAGAAAAGTCCGATTTTGTGTCAAAATACCTATATTAGAACAATGCTATATATAAATCTAATACATATCCTAAGTCGCGCTTTCGAGACATGAAAAACGCAAGTTGAATTTCGTCAATCGGCCCAGTAGAGCGGGAGATAAAGAACTGTCCCCTCCCCCCCGCACTGTACAAGGAATAATATTTAGTGGGAAATTTCTCATTTTATCTTTGAATATTGATAGTAAAAGTTTTATATCAAAATAAGAAATATATGTATATTAGCTGTTAGAAAAAACAGATTGGAATACAAAACCTTTGAAACATAAATACTTAAATCGTCACTCTACACTCCAAAAATTATTAACTAATTAGAATTTTACAAAACACGAGAGAATCTTTGCTGTACAAATCTTTGCTGATAATTCGACGAGGAATAGTTATCATTTAGTTGATATCTTTTTGTTATCCGGATGATACATTTTCAAACATACAATCTAATGAGTTTACTGAAGAAAAGTTTATAAATTATTTTCCAGTTTGTGTCTTCTCTCTCCCAGTTGAAGTATAGTACGTTTTCATACACATCACCAATCTATGGCCATTGTTAAATTTAACGGGATATAATTTTGATTGTATTTATAACTGATGCACTTCTTACATTTAACGTCATTTACAATAATGATCCAAAATACTAATATCCTCCGACCCTTGACATATATAAGATAAGTATAGGTCAGATGATAAAATTTTGTGAAAAAACATGTGTGAACAAGCTAACAGAATTCATTCTTTCCGATTTTACTATTACTATGTGCATAGATAAATAATATAGCAGATATATTTATCTTTTGCTGTGACTTGCTATCTGGATCCTATATATACTATGCGGCATTATTTTGGGTGTCAATAAACTACAAGCTTGCTACTAAGATCTGGACTGGATTGGACTATTTGGGCTGTGGCAAGGCACACGAGGACTGTCTGCCTAGTGGAGGTTGCTTTCGTGGAATACTTTAAAAAAATTGGTTGCTATCAAATTTACGCATGGAGTAAATCACAAAAACTCCCGTGCAACCTGGATTTGAACTCTGGTCAGACTGTCAGGGTTGAAAAACCTTACCGCCAGGGCGCGCACCTAATTTCTATTAATCAGTGTTATTCCTTAGCATATGAAAAGACATCTTTAAAATGCATTTATAAAAAGCCCAAGGACCAAATAGCAAAGAATCGCAAACTTGGAACGACATTTCATTGCATTTCGCTCTCGGCAAAGAGCTGTTGCATCTAGATGGTTTGGTTGTTCTTCGGTATATTAGATTATGGCAAAGCACTCCAGGGCTATCGGTCTAAAGGTAGGGATGTCTTCGTGGAGGACTTTCTGAGGGAAATTGGCTGGTATAGACGTTACAGGTGGGAAAAATCCTGTTCGCGAGATTCAAACCTCGGGCCGAATTACAAGTGTTCCGCGACATTACCTCTCAGCCGCTGGTGGGCCGTGTCGCATTTAGAAAGCGATTAGCAATTTAGTGTTTGTAACGATAATTTGTCTAATTTCTAAAGGCACCTTGTCAAAACTAGATCAAGAAAGTAAAATCATGCGGGCCACCTTCTTCGCCATGGCAATGGGGGGGGGGGGGGACTTTTGACCGTTGGACCCGATTCCTAGTGCTAACAACTTGCAACTTTACAATCTGCGCAAAACGTGGTTCAGCTTTCTCCATTAACTGATATTCCACTGTTTATTTTAACCTCACCTTTTAATAATTAACATCCAACGCTTGAAAATCAGTCAAGTCACACTAAACCGTACCTGTTGTGGGCGAATAATCTTTTTTTTCGTTATTCCACTTATTCTGCTTGATCCTTAACTGATGACTTCAGTATAACTTATAATTATTCGAACTTCATTTAGCGGCTCAGTGTCTATCACAGATTCTATCTGCACTTCGCTGTGCATTTTGAAATCCCAGCTGTCTCTATATTCATGTTATCCACCTCCCTTAGATGATGTTGCCCCCACCATAAGGTTCTAAACACTGGAAGTTTTATCGTGAACAAATTTCAATAACTATCTACAATCGTACACTTGGTTTTTAACCAATAAACGCTTTCAATTCACTTCAAATATTTTATACCTTGCCTTGGAGGAAAGCTCATGTTAGTCGGATTATCATTTGGAAGCGCCTTCATTCAGCAACATCTTGCTGCTTGCCACGCTGGGTCCATTTTTTACTTCCTTGTACGAAGTAAAAAGGAAGCATTGTAATCGCGAAAAGTTTCAGGCAGCATATTTCAACGAAAATATCCATTTTTAACGCTATCGAATGCAATTTAACGATGTTTTTGCGTGATATCTGTACGTAAAGAAAGAATAAAATACTCTTTTCCTTCAAAAAAATTATAAAACTGCTTTAAAATTAATTCTAAGAGAATTTTTCGTGGCGTCTGTACGAACGTATGTACGTACGTGCGTACGTACGTATCTCGCATAACTCAAAAACGAGTAGCCTCAAGAACGTTGAAATTTTGTATATAGGACTGCTATAACATGTATATGTGCACCTCGTATTTTGGTTGCAATCGGCCGCACCAAACGTATATAAATATATTTATGTATATATCCACTCTGTTACCCGGCTCAGTGATCTCAGTTTCTTTACTCTTATATGTTTGTAAATTGTACATTTCTTGCTTTAAAAATGATTGAATTATGTTGTTTTTATCTTCCGGTTAAGGATTTTGTGCCTTTAGTAAATCTGCGTGCAATATTTTTAGAATTATCAGCAATTTTAAAGTTGTTTAATTGCCGCTAAGCCTGTTTTTAATGGCGGTCATTGATGTTTACATTTGAAACAGGAGACTAGTGGATTTGTTGCTAATCTAAAAAAACTTACCTTCGCAACAACAAAGATAACGCATTCATTTATTATTGCCAATTAAATCATGCTAATTCTTTCTGGAATTTTTTTCGCGGAAATAAGTGTTTGAGATTTACTTCGTGATTTTTAATATAGATATTTTGAGATTTTATGTATTTTTTGGCTTCTCGCGAAGTGAGAATTGAATTAATTAAATGAGAAATACTCAATCGTCTGTGAAAAACTGTTTCTCTTTTGTTTTGTTTGCTTAATTTCTTTTATGCATCATTCTAGCTTTATTATAGTATTTGAACAGAACATGGGGCAACGATTAGATAATTCTATTCTTTAAATGATATAAATTTTGTGCATTGTGAGTTATAATATGAACGAAATATATACGTTAACTTTTATATAATTATTGGATTATATAACAGTTAACTTAGTTTCCGTTATATAATTATTATATAAGTTAACTGTTATATAATTATTTAATACTGTTAAGTGAATCTAGCGCCAGAGTGTCGCTATGGTAAACAAATACTAGAGTGAATTTTAAAGAATGCATTTATTCTATTGTGGTTTATGCGCTGTCGGCGAAGTAGATTTAATTCAATCCAATAAGTTTAAATGAAATGCAAGAAAAAATGCGTATAATTTAATATTCCAATACAAGGAAGTTATGTGGTGTACACATCCGATTTTTTTTAATAAGTCCGTGGCAAAATCTTAGGTATTGCTCTCTTTTCTGAATTAAGCAGGACATTCAAAGCATGCATTGACTGAGCAAATTTTAGCTGTCGCTATATATATGTGTAACTTAAAAATTTTATGTTAATATGCTTGCAGAAATCTCGAGTTACCTTTCGAAATCTTGTACTTAAGTCACCTTGTTTCATCTTTTTTTTATGCTTCGAAACAGTCCCACGTTTTATCGAATAATAGCTATTGGGCAGTATACAGAAGATTAACGTCATGTTTGTCAAATATGTTTAGTATTTTATCTTTTCACTGTAATTCTTCGAGCTCAACTTCTTTTTGATTTTTAAATGTATCTTAAAATTCAAAGAATAACGATTTATTATAGTGACATACTGCTAAAATAAGTAAACACGATGGCTTCTAAATAAGTAAAAATAAATCTTTAATTACTTTCAAATATATGTCATAAATTTTCGTTAAGATTAGATAGTTTTTTAGCATTCTGATTTAACATCCGCAGTACTGAAATATATTATCTTTCGTAGATAACATCTTGGCACAACATTGAGATTATAACGAAAGCCAACAACAAAGTTCATGGGGAAACGAAAAAAACGACAATCACCGATGTCCGCTCGACTTTGTCAGAAGGCAGGCCTTCATCTGTGCTGCTGGATGATGATATCTGCAGGATGCGACATGCGTGTTACATCCAGTTAAATGAGCAGCTACCATCAGTTACCGATTGAAATCGACTCACATACAGTTTAATTTCATCTTGTAGACAGATTTGCTATAAAGGTTTGCTGATATCTCTGGGATGAAAGTAATTTCAATAACTTTCAGATAAATTTAACATCTCTGAGTAGTAAATTAAACAAACAAATATTTAAATATTTGTTTGTTGAATTTACATTTATTTCATACTCATTTCCTACTGTCATCAAGAATATTTGTATTTAAAGTAATACCATAATAAAGTTTATTACAATAATTCTAGCACATAATATTCGGATATTAACTGAATATATTGTTATGCAAATTTAAATTACACTCTATCAAATCAAGAAAATCTGTAAATAGAGAAAGTCACTACAGGCACTGAAACTATTTTGATGTTCTGAGAGAGACATTTAAAAAGTTAAATAAAATATGGTTTTAAAAAGACTTTTGTTTGGAAATTTTATTTACCATTTACTGTTAATTAGTTCTCAAAACGCTCATTAATAATATTCCTATTGTTTTGCATTATACTTCAGATTTATCCCAAGTATCAAAATAGTAGTTTTATAAACATTTAAATAGTATCAGATTACTGTTTAAATCCTATTTAAATAGTTTAGCATTAAAACTATTAAATTATTTGCTCTTTCTCAATGCGAAAAGAGCATAAAGTACATTTTATTACTTTTATTTATGCTGTGCATATAAAAGACAGTTTACATACAAGTTTTCCTTTAAAAACGTTTTTCAGTTCTATCCGATGGTGCAAACAATAAAATTCTTACTCTTTTAGTTTGTTCCTTAAAAGAAGGTAAATGTGAAAATTCGTTTAACCATTAAATAAAAAAATCTAAATCGAATTTTCGAAGAACTCATTGCATTGTCTTCTACAAACAGAGAGTGTACAAAATTGAAATTGATATACTGTATTATCAGGAATTGCGTTAAAAATAGATAACAAAATTCCAATCATAATGAAAAAGATAAATAGGAACTTAAATTATGAAAACATTTTGTTTGCGTTTTGTTCGGTGAACTCGAAAACTTTATAAACTTTTGAAGATAATGCTGTCGACGAGTGGTAATCGAAAACGTAAAAATTATGAAAACATTTCATTCGTACTTTTAAAGGCAAAATGCTTTGAAGATAATGTTATTGGTGAATGGCCATAGCAGAAGTTAAATATTATGAAACCATTTTCTTCGCATTTTTTGAACACCTGCAAAAATACCAGTTAACTTAGGCAAAAATATAATAAATAAAACTCCGACTTGAAATCCAAACGAGGATAATACTGAGAAAATCACTCAACCTAAAAATAATTAAAGATAAATCCTAAATCAAAATTAATCAAATTTAATTATAATTAAAAAACGTCACAGCACGTATGTCTGAAATCCGAAGAGGCAGAAAATTCCATTGACAAACTGTTTGTACTTTATTAAATATTTGAACTGATATAAATAATGTCTAGTTATCTGTAAACAATGTAAGACTCCTTAGGGCAATTCTTAATAAACATATTATTTTCGAAGAACAGTATCCGTTTTCTCTTCCTCACCTCAAATGAATTTTTAATATTTCAATTATATATTTATGCTTACTCTAAGAAACTCTGTGTGAATATTTTTTGTCTATTTTACGAATTTTATGATAAGGAAAATTCTTTAAACAAACATGTTTCGCTATGTCAAGTTTTATTCGGCAGAGATAGTACCTCGAGCATAGGCACTCTGATGTCGCGATGGTATGTATAATCTCATTCGTTTACAAATAACATATAATACATTAAATCGTAAATTCTAAAATTAAATTGAGAGGCTGAACTTCCTTCACTGAAAAAATATTTGAAAAGAAATAATAGCGGCTGCCAACACCAGATGTAAAAAATATACGGCAAAGTTTCTCTCTCTCCTTTTCTTTCTCCTCACTGCAAAAGTAGTGTCACATTTCTTTAGTCCAGGAAGGGCAATTTTTCCAGAAGGATTATCAATTTCGTTTTGGCATTTTTAGTTGATTCACTATAAACTTTGATTCAGTTTTTCAAATTTTCGCCTCCAAATATTATCGCCCTGTGTTATATTTCAATCAATTAAATAATGAAGAATCTGCATAAATGCATCAATGTTTCTCGCATTGTGATAAACAATGGTACCTAGAGCCATCTAATTTTCAATAACGTAATCTTCCGCCGAATATGGGCATCTGGAAGCCCTAATTTGGAATTTGGAATTTGTTTTATTATCTATTTCATATTTTGTAAAACTTAAACGAATTTTTATTAACAAACTCAACGATTTCAAAGCGAGCTGCACAAAAAAAAAAAAAAAAAAAAAAAAAAAAAAAATCTCTAGCGCACGTGACTGTGCATCGCAAATTCTAAAGAAATGTTCTTTTTGAAATAATTTTGCGATATTGCTGTTAGACTGAATTTTATGGTTCAAGTGAGAATAACATGATATTTAATAAAAAAGTTAACCCTTTGCGGCACAGTGTGTCCGGTCTGGACACACCTAAACATTTCCTTCTGTACACACAGAAACATTGAATAAAAAAGAATTTATAGGTTACTATAGGTTACTCTGAACCTTCTTTTGGCAGCTCAACACAAACCAGTCCATATATTTTAGCCATGTTTAGTTTTTAAGACCCTCATTTTTCAAAGAAATCTTCCAGAATTTTTTTAGGATATAAAAGGAATTATTTGAAAAGAAATGTCTATGTTATTTTTTGGCTGTATGCTAATCTCCTTATTCTATATTAGTTTTAAATTTTTACCTTGAAATCTTGCCTAAAATCAAACGGCGAACCCTAGGTGTGCCCAGACTGGACTCAACGATAATTTAGGACAACTGAGAGTCTGTATTTTTTGTTTCTCCGCATCTCATCGGTCAGTTCATTGACAACTATGCTCGTTTCAAAACTCTTTTCGAAGCTCTATTCAATCAGTGTGCCACTTTCGGCACACCCACAGAATTAAAACGATAAGGTCTATCTTCACAAAATTTTACTTGTGTACTTCTCTAGGACTAATTAGACTGCCTACCATTTTTTATTTTTTTAAATCAAAACTTCAACTTTAAAAGGTAGCGTGCCGGAAAGGGTTAACACAGGAAACGTTAGAAAAACGCCTCTTTGGGCGTAACGTAAAATCTGAAAGCTTTTAGATTTTTTTTTAAATGTTTTTAAAATTTTTTGGTGGGCGTTGATTTTTGACTAATCATTAGCTAAACAATTTACATTTATTGATACCCCTCATTATATTTAACAATGGTAATTTTAAAATGAACGAATGACGAGACACATTTCGCAAGGGAAGAAGTGAAAGAATGCACTTGTTTATTTACGTTAGCTATAATAAGCCACGTGATATCTGAGCTCATCTACATTGTTTGTTTCAGTTCAGAAATTACGTGGTCTTTAAGATCATCGGAATGTAGCTCATTAAACTTTCACAATTCAATATTTTTGCATTTTTTTTTTAGTCCAAAGGGGCTTTGTTCCTGAAGGAGTATTTTTTTCTTTTTGCGATTTTGCGTTGAATGACTATAAATGTGCGTTTCACTTTTCAAATTGTTGCCACCAAATGCTAGACTCCTGCATTATATTTGAAGAAATTAAGTAATGAAAAATCTGCGTAAATGTATGTTTATTTGTCGCATTGTGATAAAACAACGGTACATAGAGCCATCGAATTTTGAATGACGTAATTCTCCTACGAATATGGGCATGTGGAAGTCCAAATTTGAAATTTGGAATTTGTTTTATTATCGATTTCATATTTTGTAAAATTTTAACGAATTTTTGATTAACAAACTCAAGGATTTCAAAGCGAGCCATGGCAACGTTATACAGAAAAAAATATTTTTATCTCCAGTGCGTGAGTCTCTGTATCGGAAATTCTAAAGATATGCTCAATTTAAAACTATTTTGCGTATTGCTGTTGAACTGAATTATATGGTTTAAGTGCAAAGAATGTGATATTTAATAAATAAATGTAACAAATAAAATGTTAAAAAAACGCCCCTTTGGACGTAATTTAAAATCTGAAATCTTGTAGATTTTTTTTAAATTCTTAATCCATTGATTTTAAAGATATTTTCTGAAATTCAAATTGTTATCTTTCATATATTTAAAAAATCTTTTCCGAAATCATGTATGGCAACTTTTTATTAAACCAGAGCATTCTTCATATACGCGATAATAAGAAAAAAAATATCTGTAATGTATTTAAAAACAGATTTCTTTTTCCAAATCAAGGATGGCAATTCTTTAGAGCCGAACATTCATTATATGCGTGATAATACATGAGAAAGCAAAATTACATTTATGCTGTTTACTGACAAATAAAATTTCAGATGTTTTGTATATAAGTGGAATAAAAGTGTAATCATCTCTCCACTACTGATTTTGGAAACCAATGTATGCAGTGGTTTAAATAAGAACAAAAGTGAGTAATAATGCAATTTTTAGATATAATTTTAAAATGTATGTGTGTAAGATTATATATATATTTATAATAATAAATGGATTCTTTTTTTTAAACTTACCGTCTGATTATTTAAGCTACGAGTACATTTATGATTCTTCAATAATCTATTTATTCCTGACAAAAGCTGGTACAATCACAAGGAGTCGGCAGGATGGTGTACCCAAAAGGAAAATAATTCCAATGGAAGAGAAAGAACTTTTTAGTGCAAGTTGTGTCTGTTTTTTACAACTGAAGAATTGTGAATTGTGAAAGTTATAATAAGTTCCATTTATTATTACATATATATTATATATATATATACCAAAATTAAAAAATTAACGGTATGCAAGAATTTCCAAAGTAGATATTTTAAGCATAGTTATGTTTATGAGTAGACGTCTTATGAGTATTGCAGTCATTATCTCGGTATTAAAGAAGTATTATTACTAATGTTCTTCACACATTTTTTAGACTACTTTGCTCTCGCATAAAAACAATTTTTAATGTAAAACATTTTTTCAACTGCAACTATATTTTTGAAAGTATAAATTATCATCTGCTGCTTGACAGTTAGTTTTATTTTTATGCAAAATGGCGCTTTTAAAGAAACAGTGAGCGGAAGGCTATGATTTTTCCGAAAACAATTATTCGCATCTAGTTATTAAAAAATGCTGTGAAACCATGATTTTCCGGTATCTAAAACAACCATAGATAATACTATCAGTAAGAATGGAAGGAAAATGTGAAAGTTTGGCTTTAAGAAGAAAAATTGTTCAAACTAGTATATATCTAAGGGAAAAAAAAAGAAATATTCCGAATGTTGCAAAGGTAAGAACTTCAGTGTTGAAAGAAAATCCGCAGAGTCATTGGACAGTTGCCAAATCATTAAATCACTTAGTGTCAACTGTAAACAAAATGATTAATACTGATTTGAATCTTAAAAAAGGTGAAAACTGCAATGTGCATTGTCTTTCTCCACGACATATCATTTAAAGAATCTTCTATGAGAAACAATTATTCCAACAAAAATGGAAAAATGTTGTCAGAGTCACAATGTATCCCTTTATTAGCATCAAAGAAAAGGAAAAAAATCTTAGAACATGTTCAAAGAATTTAAAGAAAGTTTTTCAAAGGCATTCATGATTGTTGTTGATTCTTAATATAATGGCAAATTAAAATTAAAGACAGTGCAGAAAACTGTTAAGGTCAACTTCACATATTATCAGGAACATATTTTATACCCAATTCTCAAATATTAAATGCCTTCTCCTTACCCTCAGTGCTATCAATCAGTAGAACTGCATCAAGACAAAACGAGCAGCCGCACGTCAAAATCTACTGTTAATTGAAAAAAATGGAACAAGAAACGAGTATTAAGGCCATACCCCTTACTCATATCCCTACTAAATCTTCTGTTCTATCACCAATGTATTTGTGCACTTTTGGACCTTTAAAAAGTGCGTTGTCCAAAGTCAAGGAAGCGATTAATTAAATATCTCTTTCAATACTAAAAAAAGCTTTATTGTCTTGGCAATTACGGTGTAGAAATATATTGAAGATTATGGGTTATCAAATGGAATATTTAAAACACAAAAATTTAAAACACAAAAATTTAAATAGAGGCAAAAAATAAAGTGTTTACAAATCATCGCATGACGATAACATCGCAGACATGCTTTTTTCAGGTTTTAATAATTGTAAATGGATATTCCCATAATGATTTGTGAGCGCAAGATGTGAAGAAGGATAATTTTTACTTTCACATTTTTTTATTAATTAATAAATTTTTGCTTAAAAAAGTAAGAAGGAAACTTAAGCATAGAAAATTAAATGCAACTTATAGATTATACTTTTCATAAAAAATTACCAGTAAAAACTTTATAAAAAATTATTTATTAATGGCCTTTTTTAGTTAACTATGTCGGTTTAAAATTCTATTAAGTGCTGTAAGTTGCATTAATTTTTATGCTTATTTTCTCAGCAAAAATTTATTAGTTTATACAAAAGTGTGAAAGTAAAAATTATCCTTCTTCACATCTTGCGCTCACAAATCATAATGGGAATATCCATAAACCTGAAAAAAGCATGTCTGCCATGTCATCGTCATGCGATGATTTGTAGACACTTTAATTTTTATCACGATATTTTCGACAACTATATTTTTAAACTGCTAAGTTTTTGAACCGCTTTATTTTCGACGACGATGTTTTGTACCACGACGTTTTAGAACTGCAATGTTTTCTCTTTGCGATGTTTTCTCCCACGATGTTTTGTAGCACGAAGTTTTTGCCTTGCGTTGTTTTCTCCGCGATGTTTTCGTCCGCGATATTTTTGCCACGATGTTTTCGGCTGTAACCCTTTGTGGAATTGATAATAAATTTCATTCTCTTTTAACTGTATATATCAATAAGGAAATCGAAATAAAAAGTGATAGATTTTAAGAAGCCTTTCCAGTAAGAAATCGTGCCTTGAATTGGCAAATTTGAGATAAAAATACCCTGTTTTGCAATAAAACAGATAGGTTCCGTGACAACAATCTGAGCAAGATTAAACCTGCATTTCAGTTATAGTGAATTTTTGCAGTTCGAGTCATCAGAAGAAACGCAGCCTTGTAGATAATTTATTAAGTACCTTATCTAGTAATCGCATCGAAGCGTAAAACATTAATCAGATAAAGCCCCTGTTAAAAAACAAAGTATATTTCAAAAGAGGGTAAGTAATTTTTAATGTCAACAGAAAATAAACAACTATAAAACAAACCTGTAAATGAAATTTTAAGAAGAAAACTTGGAAAACTAAGTATCTGTCCAGTAGTTAAGTACTTAGATCCCAAGCAATGAGGGAGGATAAAATTTCAGATTTATGAACTTTGGGAATTATACTATGACACTGTTCACAAAGTTCGCAAAACGAATTCTCTAAGCCTCGTTATTTAGAACAACAACTGTACAAAAGCTTAGTCACACCTTTACATTTATAATCAATGATATTTCATTCAAACCATAAAATACTCACTTGATTTTGAATTTCATAAATAAACTTAAAAATTTGCTGGTAGGAAAAAATATTGAGGAAAAAAAATGGTGCTTCATATTAATTGCATAAAGTCCCATGAAAGGTGGTTGGTAGCTCAAGGTAGCAAACGCTAAATTTACGTTTTATATCACTTAGTCCAATGCGATTTACTTTCGCTATATAGAAATATGCAATTTTTTCGCCCGTTCTTTCGGCTTGTAAAGAAAAGATTGCTAAAGATTCTTCAAATTCTAATTTCTGGTCAGTAGTAGTTGTATTACATTTTCTCCTGTGAAATGTCATTCAGAAAACGTTTGATAAATTGTGAGAAATTGTATGCGTTTGGAAAAATGGAAACAAGACAGATACTGACACGGATCTGTAAAAATCTAAAAGTATTATACCAACATTTAAAGAATGTAGATACGATTATCTGAAAACCAAGAATCTGCAAACGATTTAAAGTTTCTGGTGATGCATTCAGACAGCAATGTAAAGGTCGTAAATGTGTCACAACGGCGATTCAACGAGATTTTGCGTTGACTATCGTTGATTGAACGACGTCACGAAGAAAGACAGCTACCTTCCTCCTAGTATTGATGAAATTCTGGACATTCTATCTAGAAGCTAGTGTTGTCTGACGCTTGACTTAAAGAAACGATATTGGCAGGTACATACACCCTAATCACTGAGAAAAAGACGCCATTTACAACCGAACGAAGACTTTGGCAGTTCAAGGTAGTTTGGATTATGCAATGCAACGCGAACGCCTCATGGGGAACGTTCTACGAGGTCTTATCGACGAAGCCTATCCTATATACCTGGATAAACATCGTCATCGTCGGGAAAACTTTTGAAGAGCACTCAGAAAATATTAGGAAGGTACTTAAGAAACTTAAGGAAGCTAATTTAAAGTTAAATCCTGGCAAATGTAAATGGTTCAGAAATGAAGTGAGTTACCTCGGACATGACATCGTTGCTGAAGTTGTGCGTACGGATTCAGAAAAAGTGTCGATAGCTAAAGATTAGAGACGCCTGGAAAATGTCCATCAGCTGAGAAGTTTCCTACGGCTTCGCATCTAATATGGAAAGTTTGTCAAAGTCTTTTCTTTTGTAGAAGATCCCTTCATCAATTTCTAGAGAGGAATCAAAAGTTCTTGTGGATAAATGAATATGAGGATGCATTTTACAGAGTGAAGGTGGCTTTAATATCTGCGACAATCCTGACGTACCCGCAGCTAGACAAACCATTTATTCTTGACACAGATGCCAGCAATGAGAGTGTAAGCACTGTTTTGTTTCCAGAAATAAACAGTCAAAAATGTGTCGTAGCATACTGGAGCAACGTTCTATCTAAACCGGAGAGGAATTACTTTGTTGCCGGGAAAGAGTTATTCACCATAGTTAAGCGAGTCGAACATTTCCACCATCCTCTTTAAGAGGGAAATTACTGCTCCGTATAGATCATGCATCGTTGACCTGCTCTTGAATTTCAAGATTTCCTGAGGCCAAATAGCGAGATAGATACAGAAACTCCAGGAATATGACATCCTTGTCTATCATCGGAAACGATCGCTACACGGAAATGCAAACCGTCTATCTAGAAGACTTCCTACCCAGAAAGCTGCCGATATTGCTCCAGTGTCGAATCCAAATACAGGCCGTTTAATCAGATCGTACATCAAACTCAACATCGTCTGACCTGGATCTATGGAGTGATGAAGAAGTCAGAAAAGACCAGTTGGAAGACAGCGACTTTTAACCCATAATTAACCTAATGGAATCTTCAAATGAAAATCAAAGCTGGAAGAAAATTTCGATCTATAGAGCTACGACCAAATAATATTGGCTCTCTGTGACTCGAGCCATATTCGAAACGGAGTCCTGTACCAGATGCTTGAATCGTATAATGGAAAGGCGTTCCTATAGCAGTTGACTGGTTCTCGACCATAGCAGTTAGATAGGAGGCAACTTCGGAATAAAAGACTCTGCACAGAGTATGAGAGCTCTTCTACTGGAGTAAAGCAAAACCTGATGTGCAAATGTGGTGCCAGCACGAGAGCTACAGGACATCGATTCAGCAGAAGTAACAAGGTATGGTTATGGAATCCAATTTGACGAAAAGAACTTTTTCCAAAACTTTAGTCATCCTGGGTCGGACAGTCCTAAACAGGTGGAATGACGTCGTAGTTCATATTCGTAATTCATCAGATTCTAAGACTAAAATCGATCATTACCACAAACTAGTCCCTTACTATGCTGATATAACATAGCCCCTACTATTATGTAGTTTCAATTGTTTAGAAAAAATTTAATTTATGGACTCATCGCACACTCATTCTTTATATTTTTCTTCAGGTTAGATAAAGACAAACACTTAACGTTTTCCTTCTTCATTAATTCATTTTTTGATATTCAAATAATTATTTAAATGGTTTCCAATATTCAAAAAATAATTTTTGTATGATTATTAATTAGTAATTCTAGAGATCATGCACTTTTTAAATGATTTTTATTTTTATAACTATTAATTGCAAAAGTCAATAGTGATTCATTCTATGTGCCGTTCACAAGTCATATATTCTGTATTTTGAGACATATGTATGGGTTTGAAATGTAGAATATTTATGTTATTCATGTGTTAATAAGTATTGTAATTTCTAACTTAAACTTTGTTCTTAAATAATATTTTGAAATAAGCTTTTCAATCCATCATTAAAATTCAGAAGTAGACATTCTCTCACACACAGTTTTTATTTACATTGTAATAAGTATGCAGAATTTCCATTACATAACATCTCGCACTTTATAATTAAGCATTTTAAATCATGCGTTTTTAATCAAGTAACAGAAGATCACTTTTCAGTTTTCTTACATATTCCAGGATTGTTGTAAATATCCGCAGCGCTAGATCCCGGTGGATGTGTGCAAGTGGTACCTTCGACACAAGCGTCGGCTTCTACGATACTACACACCTCCCCTTCACACTAAAGGAAAACAAAAAATACATGTGAGACATTATTTTAGAAATGTTCTAAAATCTGATAATGAAAAACTCAAAATATACTCTTAAATTACACTACTGAATATTAAAATTTCTACGCAATGAATGAAGGCTGTCAGAAAATTCGCATTTAATTTACAAATAAATTATAATGGAAAATGAAATTATTTAAATTTGAGGTATAAGAAATGCACAAATCAATGTCATGAGCATCAGCTTTTGTTAAAAATGGCAGATGTTACACGTCTAGGCATCGAATCGAACAGATTACCTTGGATAGTCTGTTCTTGGGGATGGATTACGGTTATTGCAGACCATGTGGCTTCAATCTTATGTCAGATTTCATCAATCGTACTGGTTCGCGGCCACTGTAGTGCCAGTCTCTCTGCAACCATTGACCAATTCATGAGAGATCTGGAGAATACGCCAAGACCAGAGTCACAGTGTTCTAAACAAATACAGAACTTGAGCAACATGCGCTATTTTGCTGGAAAAGCAACAAGAGAGTCCGAAAATATAGCACAGCCATGAACATCAAAACCTCGGTAATATAATGGTAGCCAGTTAAAGTACAGGACATGAGGAATATATGTGAACGGAATGAGTTTTAATGGTGCCTCTACGGCATCAATCCAAATGCTACTATAACCACGAAGACTATCAGCTTCCAACGTTCATTTCTCTCGATGCCTCCTCAGACGGATAGATCATCATGATGTTGTAGGCAAAATCGAGGTACATCAGAAAAGACGATGTTCATTTGCACTGTTAATTACATCGTTGCAAACAAAAATTCCTATTCTGTAGCGTCAATAGACTGAAGCAATGTCCATAGTCTCCTTTCTCGCAATCCATGGCCATTACAAATGTCGCCACACATTCCTTCGGATATTTGGAACAGTGAAACACAGCCTCACGAGCAATTTGACGTTTCGGACACTGCTGAGTACGGCAACTGAGATCCGTCACATCACTTTGTATTGCCTCCTGGTCCTATCGATTGCAAATTCTCATAACAGTCGTTGTATCTCGACCAAAGCGAGCAGCTGTTATGTGGTAAGATAATCGTACCACGTATGTGCTAAACACTGATCTACGATTCTCCCGGGATGGAATTCTGAGATGTGCAAGCATGAGTTCCTTCTTACTTGAGGCATAACCTAATCTCCAATGCAAAAAGAGCGAGTAAATTAGACATCCGAATAAAAACTAGCTTTTAAATTTGTCTTTGCATTATTTCGAAGTCGTCTGCATTAATTTTGTCTGCAATGCGTGTGTACCTTGAAATGCTAATAGTTAGTGTAGCCCAAAGTATTCTACCTTTTATGCAAATTTCAGGTTCTTTGGACGCTTCCTATATGGTTTAGTAATTTTAAGGCAATCAGTGTATCTAGATTTACCCCCTCCCCTGTATTATTCTACAGAATAAAGCACTAATGCAAAACACACTGGAAACTGGAGTCATAGTAAGACGAACGAAACCTTAATCTATTAACGAAATATGACATAATAAATCAGAATAATATCTAAATGTGTTTATATACTTAAGTTATAGGTTAGTAAAAAAAGTTGGAGGGAAAAGCTTAAAAGTAAAGAATCTTGTATTCGATTTGAATAGTAAAAGAAAGCAGTTGTTGACAACAGGAGTACATAATACTTGTTACAGTATACAGTAAACAAATACATGGAATGATTTTCATTGAAAGGTTCATGAAATGATGCGTTCATTACTAAACAGATGATTATATTCTGTATGGGATATCAAAATATGATATGCAATTGTTGCAGTAACACATTGAAAAAAGCAAAGCTGTTAATAGCAAGCATACATTTTCCCTTCCAAAGTTTGTAGTTGTTTGTTCAACAAATCATTATGATCTTAAAGTTATTATGCTTTAATATGAGCTTTTAAAGGAATTTATGTTAATCTTTTGTATTATATTTCACACGAAATTGAAAGACTACTATTAATCAAGCTGAATCATTTTTTCAAAAACGTCCTTTACGAAGGATTCACTCTGTTAGGCAGACAACTGCTGCTTGTTAGCTTTTATTAAACAATCCAAATCATATAAAAGCTGTTTTGCAATAGCCGTGGAGTTCTTTTGTTTCAGTTTTTATTTTTAATTCTATCATCAGCAGTTTAATCGATATTAAACTCGTTTTTAAATCATTGAATTTTTTTCCAGAATGCAGAGGCTTTTGAAATTCTTCGACTTATCACTAGCCAAATGAATAAGACCGCCGAATACTATTAGTTTGATGCTCGCTCAAGTCTTGGCGAACAGGTTGATTCAATGGGAGTTTTCATGGTTTTGATCATCTGTAACAGAAATACGAGCCAATTTCCTTCAAAAAGACGTCTGCGAAGGTATTTTTCCACTAATGTGGAAAGAAGGCCCAATAAACTATGCTATAATCAAATAATTTAATTCAATCCAGTTTTAAAATCTAGAACTTGATCCAACACATAAAATTTGAAGAAAAATTATTGTTATTCCCCTTATCCAATCATTTTTGAGCTCTAATTTGGACATTTTCATTTTGAATGATAAGATTTATCCACTCTTCAGTGTTACTGTTCGTGAAGAGAGAAGGCAGAAATTGCAAACATAAGATTTAAATGTGCTTTTTTTCATTGCTATCCTGAATTTATAAAATATTTCAGAAAATTTACTTTGATTCGAAAGGATTTCATTTAGTGAAGTAATATACACAAAGTGTTAAAAATGTCTCAGATTTCTCTATTTCATCTTTTCATATACCCAGTATATGTAAACTAATTTAAATATTAAGACACAATAACACCCCAAACAAATACTAATTCAGAAATCAAACCACAAAAATCAGCGTTATATTTTCAAATTTTCACAGGACTAGTTTCGATGGTTTTACCGAACCACCATCCTCATCCGCAAAAGCGCAAATGGATAAAACCATCGAAACTAATCCTGTGAAAATTTGAAAGTATAACGCTTATTTTTGTTGTTTGATTTTTGAATTAATTTAAATATTTTAAACTGGAATATCCTGATGACTGAAAACTAAATTTATTATAACACACGAAATGATATTTCCAGAAACATTTTATTTATTAACATGTAATTAATCACGTATTATTTAAAAAATGTTATAATGTATAAGTTTATATCAGAGGCCGCTTGAACAAGTCCACTGAACCATCGTAGTTTAGCATGGTTGCAGTTCGCTGACTACATAGCGTTTTCGAGCGAAACAAAATTCCTTTAAAAAGTGCTCTATGAAACCGTCCATCGTATGGCACGTAGTCCTTAAATACCTTCGAACAGTTTTACCTAACTGAACCTTATAATGATTCTCATCAAAAATGAACTTTTTACCTCGAAATGCCACTGAAAACTTACTATAGTAATAATAATAGCGTGTTCTTTTACACATTTAGATCGTATCACGACAAAGTTGAATTTTTATACTGATTGGTGCTGTGAATGTAATTCCCAATAAATTTCAATTAATCAAGCATTAACCTCTGAAACACTTATTCCTTCTCTATAACAAGAAAAATAAATTGTTTTGCTTATCTGCAATCTAATCTACTATAAAAATGGTGAACTTTAAAAATTTGAAATTCAAGTCCCATGCCAAATACCCAAAAGTACTTAGTCCAAAAGTATTTAATAAGCACTCAGATACTTGAACTCATTCTTAAAAATCTATTACTTTAAAATAATTATAAAAAAATAGTTCATTTTTGTGCTAGCTTTATTTTTTTTTACCCAACCATGCAGTTGCAAACACTAGATTTTTTTTTTATTTTAAAGCTGGAAAATCATTTTGCTATCTCTCTTCTTATCTATAGCTAATACACCTGTTCAGCTCCACTCGACAGCAGAGAAGAAAAAATTAAAAATACATTTTTAAGTACCCTTTCTCTGATAAATAATCTTTTCAAAGAACCGATTTTTCCGTTTTCCTCCTCAAGTAAAATCAGTTTAAACGGTTTAGTATTTCTAGATAATGCAAGTAATAAACACTTATATACGAAATATCGCATAAATATATTTTATGAACTTCATATGCATAGTGGTATTCTACGTTGTGCATATAAAAAAAGGTGGCAAAACAATTTTGCATCTATGACGCAGTATTCGGACAAGGAAAAACAAGTGAATGGAAAACTAATGCCATAGTGAGTAAAATCAAAAACTTAAATCAACTTATGATTAAAACTTAATTAATAAACTTATGATTAAAATTAATCAATAGTGAGTAAACTCAAATAATCAAATATAGACTTAAGTCAAGCAAAAACACAAATGTAAATCTGTTTGTAAAATGCATCCCAAATTGAAAAAACTGTATCATCTACTATTCTGCACTGATTCGAATCAACATTTTTAGCTTATATATTTATTCATTCTGCAGAATTTCCTTCTTGGGATTTCGTGCCTTGAGTTTTTAAGTTCTTTTTATAAGGACTACTGGAATTTATAGACTTTTAAGAATTCTGTCATAACACAAAGGCGGTAATTCCAGAGTAATTACAAAGGCGATAATTTGTTGCTTTGAGTTAACATGTAAAATCATGTCCTGTTAAAATAAAATAAGTAGACCAGATGTCTCGGAAACTGATGGACGAAGAACGGACAGAACATAGACAAGCGCATTTGGAAAATGTTGCTACTGTGCGAAATATAAGATTTGTTAATTTATCTTCCACTGTGAATACTCCAGCTCGTGTTTCTAGTCAGCAAAACATACGATCTTTAATTTATTTTACAAATTTAATCAATCTGTTATTGGTTAATGAATTGAACCACTTAAATGAGATAAACGCTTCTTTAAAAAGTTAAAATTTTTATTCTGCACTTTTTAATAATGTGTCCTTTAATTTTTATGAGCATTTTTAACTCAGTTGTGTTATGTAACTGGTTCAAAATTTCAAGTTAAAAATATAATGATATATTAAACATCTTAATACATTTTTAATTTTTTGAAATTTTAATTTTTTGCTAGACAATAGTCTGACGTTTACATATTTCAATATTTTTTAACTTTTATCTAGATTGGATTATTTGATATTTGGAATGCCCGTTGCGGCTTTCTGCCAATCTTTGAGTTTTCAATTTTGGCAACAAATTTCAACGAATTTCGAATGCATAAATTAAATTCAAAGTACAAATTGCATTAGAGATAAAGCTAAGTAGTAATAGGATAACGCTCAATTTTGAAACTCCGTTTGCCGTTGTCGTTCCGTTTGTCGTTGCCGCCGCGTCTAGCTTGCAAATACCGGCTATCTTCATTTGGTTACTTCATAGCGATGCAAGGACAGAAACGTCTATGTGAGTCCTGAAGACAGGATATAATACATAAAATATAAATTTCTCATAGACTGGAAGACTATATACACAATATTTACAACCATTTGCTTTGCATTAAATGAGTGATGAGGATGAAGTCAAAATCATGCTATAAACACATATTCAGCAGAGATTTTGGACAGAGTACAGATGCGAAAGCACAGCTTTATGTAGGAAAATTTTGGTTATCGCTAAGCATGAAAGCCACGAAATGGTGAAGATGGCAGTCCTCATGAAGAATTTCTTAGTTGAAAAGTTCAAAATGCTTCATTATATTACATTCTTGTGCTTCCTAATAGAAGCGTTCATTGAGTTTTCTGAGAACTTCGCCAACGGTTCGATCTTTAGGTCGTCAGGAAAATGTTTGTTACGCACATAGAAGTGGACATTTGTAATAAAGCGAAAATATCTTCTTTGCATCACTTGAAGCTTCTTAAGTTCCTTATCGGAGATAGTTGTCCATGTCGGCGAAGCGTAAGTCATGACTGGTCTGATAACGGAGAGGTAAATAAGTCTCTTCTTGTTCAGGTCCAGTGAAGAGTATTTCCCAATAATTGAGTATAAGCATTTGACGATTTTAAGTGCCCTGTCACGCACATTATTAACATGATGTGTCCAAGTAAGTCGGTCGTTAAATAAAACATCAAGCTATTTGGCCTGGGAAACCACTGGAAGAATTTCGTTAAATAAAGAAAATTGTTTCTTAATCGGAGTGCTCCTTTTGCGTTTCCGAATGATCAAGAGCTGTGACTTTGAGGTATTAATTTGGATTTTCCATTGCGCACACCACTGTTCAATAGAAGGAATAAGATCCTAAAGTTTTTTGACTGCGTGATTTATATTTTCAGATTTTACAGCTAACGCGGTGTCATCTGCATAGCAATCCAAAATAGAGTTGTTCTGTGGTATTTCTGGAAAATCTGCAGCATAAAGTAAAACATCTGTCCTAGGACCGAACCTTGAGGAATACGACTGCGAATATTCTTTTTGCCAGAGTGAGCACCATTTACACAAACATAAAATGCCCTGTTCGTGATCAAAGAATGTATTGTAAGTAATAGCTCTCTATCAAAGTTACAGGAAATCAATTTTGAGATAGGTCCTTCATGCCAGACGCGGTCGAAAGCTTTCTCCACGTCTAGCATTGCATGAGGAGAGAAACACACTATTTATTATGGAGCGCTGAATCAGCAAACTCCGTAACCCGTACAAGTTTGCATGGTCATCGACAGCTTGGCTCGAAAACCAAATTGTTCAGGCGGTAGTAACTTGACATAAGGTTGCATGCGTGATAAAATAATCCGTTCGTAGATTTTTCCTAGAACTGGTATTAAACTGATCGGCCGATAATCGTCAGGTTTATTGTGATCCTTACCAGGCTTCGGAATCAAAATAACTTTTGCACATTTCCATAAGCTAGAAAAATAGTTGTGGTACAAGTATGCATTAAAAATGCTGGTCAGTTTACAAATAATGTTGCGCGGCAGGTTTTTGTTTTAGCAGCATTAGTGATGCCGTCATTACCGGGCGCCTTGCGCGGTTTACATTTTTTAATAATATTCTCAACTTCCGCAGGAGTGGCAAATTTCGGTATATTTTTGACAGATGGTGCAGAGATCCAGTCACGTACTTGAAGTAGCGTGGATGATTCGAAATTTTTATCAACAGGCCATTCATTTGGTGTGAATTGAGTGTCCAAATGCATACTAAAAATATCCGCTTTGTCACTATTTAGAGATAGCCACTTTTCTATTGTAAAAAATAAAGAGGGCGGTGTGATGGATAAATCGATTTACATTTTTAATCAGAGTCCAGAGCGAGCCATTCTGAATTTAATCTCCGATAATTTTTCGCTCCACATTTCATCTTTGTGTGATTTCACTGATTTCTTAACGTCCTTATTTTAGCGATTTATCGCCCTTTTTGCAACGGAAAGGACAAGACTTTTCTGAATCGATTACGCTGCCTCATGAGTTGTCGGATATTCCTAGGGAGACGAAAAATCTTTTCGCCTTTATTAATCATATAGCTTGCTTCTTCCACAGCGCTTTGAATATGTTCAGTAATAGAAGAGACAGCTGCATCGACCCCTTGTACACATCATTTAAATTTATGATATAATTTTTCATAATATTTCCATAAAGTTGCCAATCAGTTATTTTAACTGAGGAACTGAAATCATTCTTTTGAACCCCAAGTGTAGCAATGACGGGTAGATGATCTTACGAGAGTTCATGGGCAACATCTAAATGGGAATCGTGGTTGTAGATAATGCAATGTCCAAGATGTCAGAATGTTCAATTCTATCAGGGCGATAGGTGTATTCATCCGGTGTGTAAAGTGCTACAAGATGGTTTAGAATATAATCCTGGAGAATTTTGCCGTTCGGATTACTGCGTCTGCAGTTCCATACAGTGCTTTTGGCATTCAAATCCCCCGCATGTATATAACAGGAATATCCTAAGTTAATAGCGTAACCAGTAGCCTTTCAGTAAGGTGATTTTGGGGTGGGTTATACAATGAACAAAAATATAAGTCTTTGCACACCGGGAAGGTAACACAAATAGTCACTGATTCATAGCCTTTGTTATTGCATTAATTTATGAGACAAGAAGGAAAATTTCTTTTAACGTAGACAATGACACCTCCACCGCGATGAGAAATCCGATCACAACGGTAGCTATGATAATTTGAAATATTAAGACGGTGACACTGCTGCGCATGGGATTCTGTAATAATCGCAGTATTGATGTCGTGATCACGAAGAAATTGTTGCAGTTCATGCTTTCGATTTTGGAGACCGTTAGCGTTCCATATCATGAAGCGTATATAGTTCGCTGTATTTTTTTATCTATCCATTATTAGATTTTGTAGTGTCTTGAGATGCTGGTGTGTGTGTGTGTATATGTGATTATGGCAAAGCCTCGAGGGCTATCTGCCTAAAGGGAGGGATGCCTTTCGTGGAGGACTTTCTAAGGGAAACTGGCTCGTATACACGTTACACATGGGGAAAACCACGAAAACGCCCATGCAGCCAGCCCGTTCGCGGGATTCGAACCTCGGACCGAACTACCAGTGTTCAGCGACTTTACCGCTCGGCCGCTGGTGGGCCCTTGAGATGCTGGTTTCATGTCTTGAGTGAGTTGTTTAAATAGAAGTGGGAAGCCAGATTCTTTAATGATGTTAACGAAACTTTTAAGTTCGCTGAGTATGGTTTTTGCCTCAGCGATAACTGCCGTTGCAACAACGTTTGATTGCTGTAGGATTTGTAAGTAAGTATGATTTGTTGGTAATAACTCTGTCAGCATAAGATGTTACTGGTGGGTGAGGTCTTGCCGTAGGAAATTTCTCGCATTCCGTGTAATTTGCAGTGTGACCCACTTGCTGACAGTTGGCACACTTCGGTGGAGTGCTTCTATCTTTGTCACAGTTATATGACTCCTGTGAGACACCGCATCGGACGCATTTGGGTTCGTGGTTGCAGTGTGATTGAGCATGATGAAATTCCTGGCAGCGGAAACATTGCAGTGACCCAGCACGACCGTTATATCTCTCCATAGTGATTCTAATTCCATTAATACATTTTTCATGGAAAATCTAATGGCTCTTAGCTTTTCTTTCAAGGGTTACTAGAAACAGGGATAGGTTGCTCATTTCACCTCTTCTTCTACGTTTTAACTGATTAACACGAATAACACTGAACCCTTTAGCAAGTAGCTCATCCGTTATTTCATCGATCGGAGTATATGAAGCTAGATTTCTGATTTCAGCTTTTACACCTGTTGTCAGGAAGTTCAAAACAGTGATAGCAGACTCCAGCATCCGTAAGCACCTTAATGATTTGTCTTTATAAAAGTTGGAGTCTTAAATTGAATTTTGAAGCCACCCTGAATTAACTGCCCGTAATAATCACGTTCAGCTTGCAGATTATATCCAATTAACAGAGCTTTAACATGAGAGAAGGCGAATCTTTCATCTTTTATCATAATGGGTGGGTGTTTACGTCCTAAGGTGCCTTGATTAGTTGATGGTGTCGTCAGTGAAGGGTGATCATTAGGAGTGGTATCCATAGCGTCAGGTTTGGAGGGAGTAGCTGCCTGATCAGCAATCGGTAAGCCAGAATGCTCAGGAGGTGGAGGGTGAGGGGTAGTCTTCCTAATAGGTTTAATTTTAAAACTGTTTATCATTTTTAACTATATAACCTTTATTTTTTCTAACGAATCGGTTTTTAAACACTACAAAAAATTCATTTTAAAGTAAAGAAGTTTAATCCTTTTATTCAATAAAATAGTTAATAAATAATTAAACAAATACGAACAGTAGAAAATGCGACGCGATCTTGTAAGAATTTATACTCACCTTGTAACAAATATCACAGCAATGACACTCATCTTTGTAACTTCCGCAATTACAAGAAACCTTTGGACATGCACTGAAATCGCAACTGTCTGGACACTGCATGGGGGACCGTCCTTCAACGCTCAATGTCCTAATCGAAAGACAAAAACAGAAAACATCACCTAATAGATGACAACTTTTCTGGAAAATAAATAGAATGAAATAACATTCGGCCTATTTCAACTATTTAAAAATTATGTAATAGGTTCTAAACTAACTACCGTAGTAAAATCATATTTTAACAACCGTAGCAGACTGTTGAAAACTGTAGTTGAATCAAGGAATTATCTAAATTTTTCCATAATATAAAGATAAAATGCTAAAATTTCTGTTTGTACTTACCAGTTATATCACATTTTCATGACTTAAGACCACACATCATAAATATATTAACTTTCAAAAATTAATACTCAATAATTTTCCGTTGTTTCGTGTATTTCCGGCTCCATCAATTAAAACAATCATTAAACTGCAGCCGCCGTTAAATCATATTTCAAATATATCTTCTCTTTCCCATATTTTTATTCTGGCGACTTCCAACTTACCTCTGAATAAATGGCAAATATCGTCATTGCTTATAAATTTTTAAAAGCTTTAAGTGCAGCATCATACTATTTCATATGTCTTGGTGAAATCATGCGCATTACAAATTACAAAATGCAATTACAAAATTTAATTTGTAAGGGCTCGCTTACACGGTAAATCGTTTAGCGGCTATATTGGGAATTGTTTCTGCAAGTTCTGAATGTTCGAGAAATTCACAAATCGTGTGGCCTAAAAATGTGAAAAAGTATCTAGAATTTTGCAAAATTTTATCGAATATTTAAATTTGTTTAAAGTCCATAGTCATAAAAGTGAAAAAAAAAATGTGTTACAACTACATACTCTTTTTTCAAATTTTCTAACATTTGAACCCAGTCCTAATCGAGAAGGTTTATAGTTCACTGCTCTCAAATTGTTTTGGTCTTTCGAAACGGATTTATCAATAACGACGCTTCCTTATTCCTAAACGTTTACACGGCGACTTCTGGCGTTTTAGCTGGTCCCACACATGCTCTAAAGTGGACAAGTCCGGGGAGCGGACTTGCCATGGAAGAGGCTGAACATGACGTAGAAAGTTTTGAGCAACTTCAGCTGTATGCGGACGAATGTTATCTTGCTGAAAAATTGTTCCTGGAAGACCATTTACGAAAGGTCCCACATAGGGTCGTATAATGTCATCAACATAATTCTGGCTCGTTAAGGTTATACTTACCACAATTAAAGTGGACGGCTATCATGAGCCATGCCCCCTCCAGATCATTACGTCTGCTGTGCAAGTAGTGTGCCGCGCGACAGCGTGGGTAGAATTTTACCGGTGGACCAGGACATCTCCCCATCTGTAGGCGGCTATCACCTGTCTTCAAAACGAACCAAGATTCATCACTTATTACCGCGTTTAGCTAATATGTGGCATTCCACGTCACTATGCCCTGGAACCACTGCAGACGGAGTAGCCAATATTTTGGTATTAAAGACAGAGCATCATAAGAGCTCTTAGATTGCAGATTCGCTCCCGCAAGGCATCTAAAAATGGTTTGTGGAACAACTGGCTCCTCTACATCTAATTGTATTGTGTAACAAGTCACCTTGGGATCCAAAAGCGTTTGCCGCACGATCCTTCGATCCTGTCGGTTCATCGTCTTTGTGGTCGTTCCACACCGTTGTCCGCACTTGGTGTTCGCATCTACTATCCACTGCCCTCAACATGTTTTGACGGCACACTCTGAAGGATCGACTTAGTGAGTGACACGGCGCGTCCCCCATCCTCTGGTTTTCATGGCGATGATCAAATCCCTCTCAAACTCGCTTAACTGTGAGAATGTCTTCTCACACGCCTACCTGGCATTTTTCGCTTACTAAAGTTCTTAATTTATGCACCCGCTTATAAAGTTGTTATCAGTATAACTGAGGATTTCGAGATCGCAAACAACATCGTGTCACGAGCTTGGATGATATTTCATAGAATAAGAACAGCTTTCGAAAGTTTAGAAGCAGCTGTCCACATGCAACCACAGCAATAGAGAAATGGTCTTGCAAGTAAAGAGAAATCAAAGGAAGATACTAGTAGGTGAAATTTCAAGACCTTCAATATACTGCTCATATCGCGTTTAACTGCGGCAGGAGATTTCATATAGATAGTTTATTCATTCGGTAACCCGTACTGTGTGTGCTACTAACATCTACTCACCACAGACACGTTTTTTTCTGTGATTTCAGGAACTCAGAACTGGAGATCGAGTGCTCTTTTAGGGAACGACAACTGATTTACAACTGATTTAGTCTCATTAATGATGCTGCTAATCCAAACATCTAGAGAGGAAGAGTATCATATAATCCCCCCAACCTTGTAGAAAGGCATTGATCTTGGTTTGCAGGTGCCAGTGTTCCTGTTTGGACAGGTATAATGCTTGGTTTTCATATGGAGCTCTACATTTTCCAAAAAGGCTCAGATACTGATGGCATCTATTGTGCTAAGGTTCTCCTCATTCACAAGCATCTTTTTCCGGTGACTACCTCGCTCTCTTCGTGGAAGATAATGCTAAACCTCATCGTATAGCGGTAGTCTCTGAGCTGTCGGAGAGAAAGAGAACAATCGCTGCACAAATTGGACCTCATAGTTTCCACGACTCATGCGAGATGTTAAGGCCCGTTCCCACTGAGGTTTATCTGAGCTAACGAACACAACTAACGTAGTTGACCCATCACCAAAACCAGCTTTTCCCCATAGAGCAGCAAGTTGAAAAATCTGAACTGCAGGCACAGCGGAGCTAGTCGACACAGGGAACTGACTCCGTTAGCTCAGATAAACCGCAGTGGGAACGGCGCTTTACTGGAAATGCTTTCAGCGTATCATAAACTGCAACAACGGTTCCGCACTTGAATTGACACTACAAGGAAATTGGACCATAATGTCCCAAAAACTCATTGTTGGCCTCTACTAACCAAGAACAGATGATGCAAATCCTGCATTGCCGCCAGTGGTAATCATACCTCCTTTTGAGGATTGTATTTTTCTTGCCTGCCACCTACCAAGTACGCATTTCTGTGCTTGGAGTGCTCAAAACTCACGTTTGAATAAAGGTATTTTTTATCCCTTACCTGATTTCTTGAACCGCGTTGTTTTTCTTGTAAGGTTTATCCTACGTTGCCTAACAGTTAATTTTTAGTTAAAGCTATTTTCCTGTCCATTCTTTATTTCAGCTTACAACTTCCGGCCAGAACGTATTTTCAGAATCGCGGTCAAATGCAAATGAGGAGGAGAAGTACTATTTAACTTTGAAGTTCTACTTACTTCGTTAGAGAGCTAGATATTCTGAGCAGCGCGGGTTCGCCTTTTAGGCTACTTTCTCTGTTAAGCTATTATTACGCTCGGCCGTACTTTAGGCTCTTGATAGCTTCGCCGTTAGTTAGCGTTAAGGGGCCAACTCTGTTAGAATCTTGATTAGCTTCGGTTATATCTTTTTAGTTAGATTTAGTTAAGTTTTACTTCTTAGTATTCCTGAGTAGAGGCTTTATTGTAAACTCCAAGAAAGAGTCGCCTATTAAATTTATTTTGAATAATAAAGGGTATTTAACCCTTCTTGAGTTCTGCTCTCTATTCACTCAACTAAGCGATTATTCGCTTACCAGTTCTTAAGGTTTTTTTCATTTTCAGCTTTAACCTAAAGGCAGAAATCTTAACACCCATTCCCATAGTTAGATCTCGACAATGTTTTGAAAAACTGTAGATTGATTTGAAATGCTGTTTCGTAACCAGGCCGATCCTTAATTTTATGCACACTAATGTATAATGATATTATTCAATAGAACATTGCAAAATTTTATAAAATAAGTGTATTTGATAAAAATAAATTTTCGAAAAATGTCGATCTTTCATGGAAATTTCAACTAACTGGTTGCCATTTCGAAATTTAAATCAATTATATTTCGAAACAGTAACTGATTTAAATTTCAAAATGATAATCAGATTTCTATATTTAAAGCTTTAAAAGGAACTCTATGGGTTGTGTATTTTTCATAGTTCCAATTTATTAATATTTTATGTCGCAGAAGATAATTCCTGAAACTTTTGAAACATTCTGCTTAAAAATGTCATTAGAAACATTATTTGGAATTTGTTCATTTAATAAATTGAACTTTTATATGAAATAATAAAACTCCACTGTATTAGGAAATTTATAAACATAACAATATTATTTGTTTAACATAGCAATGCAAAAAAGTATTCAAATTAGAATAAAATCCAACGAAACGTTTAACAAGATATTAATTAGCTTTAAAATAATATTGAAATACTTTTTAAAAATATTTTTCAGCATATCTTCAGGATAAAAAATTTAAAACATTTTTAAATGAATAGCGGTAGTGAAATACCGGTACTCTTTAAATGAAATATAAATCAGGTAATATCTCAGAATTACTACGCATATATATATATGTAAAATAAAAATATATGAATCAAATTTAATATGACATATATATATATTAAAAAATTATTTTTGTATGGTTTAAGTTATAAATATATAAAACTTACACTACATTAAAATATTGTTGATTCCTAAACTCCAACGATACGATTCTAAATTTTTTCACGTTATGAAATACCGTTTTGTCTGATTATTATTAAAATATAAATAAGAGAGCAGTACTTACAAGCAAAGGACAGAGAGAGCAAAACACAGGTTAAACAATGCTAATTTCATTTTAGAACTTTCAGTAAATGACACTGGAATTCTGAAACGATACCAATAACGTTTTTCTAAATTCCAACTGGCACAACTTCACGTCAACACTTTTTGTAGGCGTTCTTTGTGCTCTATTGCCACGTAACCTTATCAATTCGATGACGAAGCGTCAGAATTCGAAAATTCGCAAACAATATGTTATCAACTAACACGTTACCTTTCAGGTGCAATCGCAAATGCCAAATTCTAATCTCAACCAGATTATTCTTCTCTGCAAACTGCTTTAACCTATTCTGGGGTTCGTTCCTTTCACTGCCTAATGTTTCATTTCAATTACAGTATAAATGTTTACTTTGCAAGATTAAAGTTCATCTCGGTTTTCAGATTTGTTTAAACTAGTGATAACATTTGCAGAAAAAAGGGTTCATCCTATTTCGGATTCTTTGTTCAAAAAAAGTAATATTGATGAAAATTGCAATAACCTTTCATAGCATAATCATTTCTCATGCTCATAAGCGTATTTTAAGTCATATACCTTTCCCGTTATAGGGTAATACGTCCCAAAATATTTTTTTGGCTAATATATATGCGCCAACTCCATATTTCGAAACAGAAACATACTTTTATCATCAGCTCATTTTGACTGCAGCAAATTTTTCTAAACATGGGAAATATGTCTCTTAGATTAGTTAGTTAATAAGCAATCATGAAAAGAGAAACACTTTAGACACACCAGCGGCCGAGCGGTAAAGTCGTTGAATACTGGTAGTTCGGTCCGCGATTCGAATCCCGGCGAACAGCCGAGAGTTTTTGTGATCATAGGTCATAGTTCATAGGTCTTCGCTTATTTAATAAGTATACGACTCTGAAGTCCTTATCTATCTATATCTGTCCTTAGTAGATATCCTATAAGTGAAAAATAAATCCAAATGTTGGAGCAAACCTGTGCACTTGAAGTGCTGAATAACATCCAATGTGGCAGTATGTAACAGTGACATAATTTGCGCAAAATAGCGATTTAACATATCTGAAGCATAACTTTATTATCGTAAAAGCAATTTAGCACATCTGTTACATAAAAACTTTGGCATAATTTTCTCCTCGTAGGTGCTACGGCTGTAGCGTATCCTTCCTCCATGTCTTAAAGCTAACAGAATATCGTGGGTTTTCGTGGTTTTCCCCATGTGTAATATGAATACGAGCCAGTTTTCCTCAGAAAGTCCTGAACGAAAGCATATCGCCCCTTAGACAGATAGATAATCCTAGATTACTTTTCCATAATTGAATAAACCCAAACCAAAAGCACTTCAACAAGTTTTTATTGGCAATAATTACTCTGAAAAAAAGAACAATGCGTTCGATTTATAATACTGAATTTGAAGATAAAAGCATAGTTATAAAAGATAAAAACAAATTAATGGTGGCCAATTGGAAACTTGGGGTTAGAAAATGTTGTGCGTGTTCCCTAAAAATTCGACAAACGAAAGATTTTTTGCGGTCTATGATTCCAGCACACATTTAAAATTCACCTTAATTGCACCTAGCCTCTGTAAGCGTAAAGTTTATTGTTACTTGTAATTATAGATATCTTCATTCATTTTGCATTTATCTTAAAAAAATTACTCAATCTTCCTTCAGTCTTACATGAATACCTTACAGTCTTTAATGAATACTTATTCTTTTACGACGATATTTAACTCAGAAACTTCATCTCCAGTACTTAATACCGTCATGATAACCTGTTTTCTTTAGTAGCTAGGCTCATTTCTGGAATTTCTAATGAGGTGTAAGCTTCTTCAAAATTGCTAACTAAATATCGTAATCTTCTAAAAGTACTTGAAAATTAGCAATGGCTAACGAATTTTTTATCCAGTTGTTATTTCTCTTGTTTATTTTCTGAAGGAACGTACTTCTCAGCTAAAATGTCCAAATTTTTTATTTTATTAATTCCAAACTAAAAATTAAAAAACTTTCAGTTGTTTCAGATCCCGAATGACAAAATGGCCACAGATACCTTTTGTCTGAAGGAGGAAGATATTATTCGTTTAATGGAAGCGTATTTAGACCAAAGAGGTCTTCATATGACGCTGGATGCGTTGGAAAGAGAAACAGGAGTAATCCATTTCGAGTACCCGAAAGAAACATTGACTTTAAGACAATGTATCGTGGACGGACGTTGGAGAGAAGCTATATCACACCTAAGATCTTTGCCTATAAAGGAAGAAGATCTGAAGTTCATAATATTTGAAATAATGAAACAGAAATATGTGGAACTCATCTGTGTTTATGAAGAGGTAAGCGTAAGCTTCATTTTTATTGTAAACAAATGAAACTCTTTGTTTCACAAGAAAAAGCAAACAGCACTGATAATTAGAATTTACGGATTATTTAAATGATTTAATATTTAGATGAGAAGTCTGTGGCACAAACTTTTGAGATGGTACGTGAAAAAACATTCCTCGAGCTTCAATAATTTAAAGATTGAACGTTTTGTACAATTATAAATTATTTTTTAAATTGCTATTTGTGAATTTCTTCCCATATCTTATTAAAAGTACTTTCCCAGAACCATTTCCTACTGTCATTAGATACAAATAAGCAGTAACGAATGTATTATTGTACCTACGTGCAAGGTGCATTTACAGAGTTATTCTGAAATGAATGAAACATGCGAGAAATTAATTACAAATATGTAACATACGTAGCAATAAATATGCCAAATTTTATTGTACTGAAACAACTGAAAGGGTTTTACGATTTTATCAACCATTTGTTTTATAATTTTCGGATATAATTACACTTCTTCGACGACTCTCACCAGGATGCAAATTAATTAATGCATATAAGTATTGATATTAATTTACGGCCGAAGTTTTGACAGTCACCACTTACCGTCTTGATACTATATTCCCCAGCTTCTGAATTTACTTGGAGCAGCTTTATTCCTTGCTAGCCGTATTTGCTCGTGTTATTCGAAGGCCTGAGTCAGCACTTATAGGCACATTTTGTCTTTTGAATCTTCAATATAAATTTTGCTTTTATTAATCCGCAAGTAGCGGAGATTGTTTTGCTAACTAACACAGACTGTGTAAAGTTTTCGGCTGAAGAACTAATGAAAAGGTGTATTTTAAAACTTCTGTGTTCGATGTTACCTAACTGGAAGATAAAAACGGGTAACACGTCGCACTGATTGCACGGAGCCAGAGATAATATTTAAAATACCTTTAATAATTAAGTATACCTTTAGACTCAGCAGCTTTAAAGCTTCGTCTCTGCATGGTTGTTAGCTGGGAGAATGCCGGCAAACCTGACAGAAGGTTTCGGGTATCTCGTAGATATGAGAGCTTCCATGAAACCAAGCGTAAGTTCTGATGGCAGAAGTAAATTTTATGAAACCAGACAAATCTTACAATATCGACTTAACGAGAAACTGGAAGTTTCAAAACCAACATCCGTTTTGAAAGGGAGGATCCTAAGATGGTTCAAAGCATTGGAAATACACTTACCTCCAAAATTTAAGGAAAAGCATGTTTTTCAAAGCTCAATGTTACAAAAATGTAGTAACGTTTAAATTGACAGTTCATATGCATGACAGTAACGAAGTTTAAGAAAATATATGCAAAAACAGTAGCTGTCCTTTTTATTTTATAGAAATAAATACTTATATAGGAGTTGGAAAAAAAATCCAAGAATTGCAATTTTTGTTCACGTGTGTTGATCTTCAGTTGTTATTACAATTTCATGGACAATATCCAAGAGAGTCTATCAATGTCCAGGAGAAGTCATTTGCCGGATTCGTTGCTGTGGCAGGCGATCGGATGGATGGAAATGGGGATGTCACAACCTGATGGTGCTAGACGTCTCTATGTTTTTCGTAGTGGGGTCCACCAACCATGGAATCAGTTTGAATCCAAAGATTCTGTGTCTAGAAGACATGTTCCAGGCAGACCTAGAGTTACAACACCTGAGGGAAATCGTTATTTGGCTTTTCCACACAGAAGGAAGAGTAACAGTACTGTGCCTCAGCTCGTGGCAGATCATTTAGTGGCAATACGAACACGAATCTCAGATACTACAGTGCGCAGACGCCGGCAGAATACAGGTCTGTATGCAAGACGATCAGTTGTTTGTGTCCTCTGAACCCAAGGACACACAGGAGCCCGTTTATGTTGGGCAAGATAACACGTCTCCTGGACCAGTCTACAGCGGGTGTCTGTTCTTTTCACAGATCAGTCCAAGTTCACATTGGAGACTGATTCAAGTCTTTAGCTGATCTGGAGGTAACAACGCACCAGATATAACCAATCCCACATTGCGGAAAGACACAATTACATAGGTGGTGGAATGATGGTTTGGGCTGGGATCTGTCTCGGTGGTCACACTGACCTGCATATGTTCATGGAGGAATTTCGACCGGTGTGAGATATCGAAACAAGATCCTTGATCAATATGCCCGCCCATATGCCGCTGCTATTGGTCCTGGACTTCTTCTGGTAGATGACAATGGGCGACAGCACCAAGCTCGGGTTTCTGAAGAATATCTTGATGGTCACGGTATGAAGTGGATGGAATAGCTAGCTCAATCCCAAGACCTGAATCCGATACAGTATCTTTGAGACTACCTTGGGAGACAGGTTTCTGCTTTAAGTCCTCTTCCAAGGTCATTAGATGAGCTTGAACAAGGATTACTCCGTGTCTGATCGTTGCTTCCCATTTTACTGACCGACAACTTCACTGACAGCAGGGAACGTCGCTGCCGCCAATATATTAAAGCTGAGGGTTGACACATTCCTTATTAGAACCCAATTTTGTAATGTTACCACCAAATGTTTCCTCAAGAAACTGTGATATACTGTTTCTCCAAGACTGGATTTCTCTGTCAAGAGTGCTATTTTTTGTTGTAATTCATGTTTGTGTTGACCTTTAGAAACATTCTATGTCGCATTCATCAAAGAACTGTTTAATGAACACGTCCTGTAAATTTCTTGTTTCTATGTTGCTTAATTCTCAAATTAGACAAAAAGACATGATATTCCTTAACGTTTGGAGGTCAGTGTACTTAGTTAGCTGAACCCGACAGCGAGGCGAACAAGTTTGATGCTCTTTAAGTCCATGTCATCTAAAGAATTTTTTCAGTTAGCTTGGTTGCAGACAAAATTGTTTGGAAAATATCAGGTGGTGGGGGAATAACTGACGGTGTTTATATTAAAAAAGTGAAAATTGTAAAGCTGTTGCATTGAAAGAGCCCGAACAAGGAAATCATTCAATTGATTGTGCCAAATTTGTGGTCTCATTCAGAAAATTTCTTCAAACTGAGGAATGTTGACGCACTGGAAGAGTTATTTGAATTAGTGGTGAAAAACGAGAACCCTATGGAGACGACAGAATGTTTTATTTGAGGATATGGTGATATGTTTGTTCTTAGCTATAGTAATGGATCTTGCTGAAGAAAAGTTCAGCAAACAATTGCTCCTGCAATGGATGATGCGATCAAGGAAAACCCAGAGATGAGAGACTCCTAGGGTGTTACGCGAAAACTGATCAACAGCATTGGGCAGTTTTCTGGAGGAAACATTACAGAAAACCGGAATATTATAAATATATTAATATTTAATTAGCTATCTTATGTTTTATATTCTTTATTTAATTTCATTCTGAAAATCTATTACACTTTTATAATGAAAAACCTTTATTTATCAAAATACCTTTATTTATCAAAATTAAATTAGCAATTAATATACATAAATTATGTGGATAAACTTAGAAATTTTCCATTTATTAATGAAAAACTGAATTAAATACATGTTGAACTAAATTAAATACATACAATATTGACTAATCCAATATTTGTTCACTCTTGATAAAAAGTTAACAAATGCCTGTAGTAGATTAAGGCATGTGGACAAATGAAATATAATGATAATAATAAAGATGCTATAAGATGTAGACAAATAAAAAATAATGAAAAACATTATGCTGAAAAAATATCAGGAATCGGGATAATGAGTTTGCACAATATATGTTTCATTAATTCAATAAATGTACTTTATTGCGGGGAAATACTTTCCATAGTAATGAGTAATAAATAAAAACTAGAAAATTCGGTGATCTGCAGCAAGACTGGAAAGGTGAAGGAAAGGCGGTAGTTAGCTGCTATGCTAGAGTAACACTAGATGAAATAATTCCGCATGGGCCGAGAATCTTTAGAAGATAATTCAAGTAAAAGTAGACTATTGGACGCACTGACATTAAGAAATATTGCTCACTTCCAAGAGGAAATACCGAGTGACAGGAGATTAAAATTCAAGGAAACAGCAATCATACTGGATGCATCTAAAATAATTCTCTCAGGAATTTCAGCACAGCAACGGCTCAAATGAGTTGAATTTAAAAAGCCTGACAATCACTACCCCTTACACCCAGATTTAGCTCCAAATGTTTATTATCTGTTCTCCTACGTGTAATCTGATATTAGTGGAAAGAAATTTAGCCATGATAATGACGTGGAAAAAGCAGCCATGCAACATTTTTAGGAAAAACCTTCAAATTCATTTTTCAGCGGCATAGATTTTCTCATTAAATGCTGTGAAATATATACCAAATTACAAGGATGCCATATTGGGAAAGGAACTAGTAAAAGTTTCTTTATTTAGTACGAAAAGGACTGGAACAGACCAATTTACCTACAAGTTGGTTCTACTTACATATTTACGGAATCATAGAAAGCTCATGTAGATAATTTCCATTTCATCAGCACATCAGTACACAAAGCACGTAATGTACATCTGCAAAACATTTGAATATTATAATATTAAACTAAGTTTGATTTACAACTAAATACGAATCTAAACTCCCCAAGTGCCAGCACAGCGCTCAATAAATACGGCAGTATAAAACAGCTAAATATTTATTTTGAAACTCGGCTCAAAGTTTAGAGCTAAGTCAATTAAGAAAACTAATTTCTACTGCTTATGGGATAGATTAATAGAAAAAATTACTTAAAGTATTTATAGGTTTTAAATTTTTAAATTTAAAACTTTGACCTATAAATACTTTAAGTAATTTAGTTCCTAGCCTCCTTATTCTGTTATTCCAAGTCTTGTAACAAAATTTTCAATCAAAGGAAAGCTCATCAACTAGTAGCAACAGCTCTAACGACAAATAATCACAGGGGAATTTTACTGGCTAAAACCTGGCTGAAGTTGCCAAAACTTTCTCTTACTTTTCTTATTCCTGTTTAAACCCCCTCCTATTTACGTATTATGGTGAAGTCGAAGAAACAACCGAAGTGTAGGATGGATTTTTAACATAAAAATAACTTTTTGATTAAAATAAAACGTTAAACGTAATTCAATTAAATGTCGATCACTTAAATTTCCTAATTTTTATTTACCTTTATAACAAAAAAAAAAACGCCTGTGGTTTCATTAAATGCAAAGTAAATGAAATAAAATGCAATTTTCGTGTTTTCACATCCAAGCTTTAATATAAGTTTGCATATTTATTACAGCTGGGTAATGAATTATACGACGATTTGGGAAATGCAATTGCAATCTGCTTCTCAGAACTCTCTGCTTATTGTTCATGCCCTGTAGAGTATGAAAATCTTAGGAAACTTGCATCCTTGACGAAACTTTCACAAGACCCTAAATTCGAGGACTGGAATCCTTTCGCATCAAGGCGGAAATGTTTTAACACTATCTACTCGGTTCTAGTATCAGAAGACAATCTATATCAATTGGAAAACAATAGCGAAGAGAACAGACTATTGGATTTGTTAGTGAAGGGAGTACTGTATGAGTCTTGCGAAGAATATTGTCAACTGAAAGCCAGTACTAAATCCGAATCCGCTACAACATTCAGATTCGGTTCCCTTGTCCAGTCTACTCAGACCGTGGGATCCAACTTGAGCTTATATTCCTGGCTGCAGTCTGTCCCATGGATTACCATGACTCACAGTTTCGTACATCGATTTCTCAGGGTGGAAGTGGACAAAATAGAAAGACCTGAAATGAGAGAATGCTGGACAGAAAAAATTTTACAAAGCGCCAAAGAATTTGCCCCTTACCTGCAAAATGAATTACAAAGGCCTGACAGCTCAAGCGAGAACCTAAAAAGCAGGTTTTGGAACAAGAGAATTAAGGATAGCATGATTGTTGATGCTTCTGAGATTCTGAAACGAGCTGAAGAAGTGGTAAATCGATGGAAAACGCGACAAACTCAACATTTAGAAATTGACAAACGTATTGGCCACGATACTAAAATTTCGAACTTACCTGAAGGGAAAATCGATGTCCATGATCAACGTCCTCCACAGCAGACATCTATTTCTGCCAAATCTTCGGATCTCATTCCCGTTATAGAAAGTCTTAATGAGTACACCTCTACCATTACTGAAATCGCCCATAACCATCGTATTTCACAGCAAACATTTCCTACTGATAAATCATCGGACTTTCCTCACTCTGACGAAGAAAATATAAATGAATATATTTCATTTCCTGATCCTCACCTTTCCGCTCCAGAGCAATCATCCGTTCCTCAGATGCTATCGGAACTTCCTCCTATTTTGGAAGAAAATCTTAACGAATCTACCTCAATTATTGATGAATTTAGCGTTTTGCAACCAAGTATTAATACAGAAATTAGCAGTCTTAACACCAATTCGGCAGAATCGCAGTTACTGGCAGACCGTTTTGGTTGTCCAGTATGTAGTGTCGTAGAAAATGACAATTTTGATGTAGAAAATGATTTTAAAGAACATGATACAAAACACCAACCTGATCGAGGTGATGTTTCTGATCAGAAACAAAGTATCAGAGATCTAATACATGCTAAATTAAAGCTGCGGGGTAACCTGCTTAAAATTCTTAAAGGCGAATTTCCAGAGAAGGCTGAAAACAACTCAGCAAATGAATATTCTTCTGAAATTAAGCAACAAAATCAAGTACACTCTATTACTGCTGCTGCAGAAATTCCCAGGTATATTTTGGTTTTATCTTATGAATAATGTTATTAAAATATATTAATTTGCTTTTTCTATATGTTAAATAATATCCAAATTTATATTTAAGTATTTCTCCAGAAAATTATTAAAATTCTTTACAGCACTAGTTCTTGAATTTCGCACTTAGTTTATTCACTTTATATTTTATTGCATTTATTTTGTTCACATTTTCTGTTGCACAAGTCGCTATATTAATCAAAGTTTTATTTTTTCATACTACTGATTTCAGCCTTACATAGAAACTACACTCATGTCCATAAATTAAGGATAATGCAAAATCAGGCAAAGGAAGAATTAGAAGCAAAAACAAAAGGTAAAGAGCAAAAAAGATGCTATATTTTTTATATTATTAAAAACATTAGCGATTTTTTCTCCCTGGAGCAAATTACAAAAAAAACCTATTTACAAAAAACCAATATTACATTGTTGGTATGATTTTTAATACATTGTATGTCTCCCAGACGATGCAATACAGTCCGTACAACGCCTAGGCATGCTGAGTATCAAATTATCGATCTGATCTTGGGGGATATTACACCACTCAAAAAGCAATGCTCTCCGAAGTTCCGGTAGACATGTAGGAGGAGGTTGACGGGCTGCAACTCGTCGGCCAAGCATGTCCCACACGTGCTCTACTGGATTCAAGTCCGGTGAGAATGCTGGCCAATCCATACGGGTGATATCCTCCGATTGAAGGCGTTTGCTTACGATGTTTGCACGGTGAGGACGGGCGTTGTCATACATAAACACAAATTGTGCGCCCATGGCGCCCCGAAACAAACGCATATGTTGTTCCAGAATGTCGTCCCTATAGGTTTGGTTTGTCATGGTTCCAATTTGAACATGCAGGTCAGTTCTGGAACCCAGAATAATTCCACCCCAAACGAGCACTCCTGCACCACCGTAACGGTGTCGTTCAATGATGTTTTCTTGGTGGTAACGGGTACCCGGAGCTCTCCATATGAAAGTCTGACGAGAATCAGACTGCAAGCTAAACCTGGACTCGTCTGAAAACATCACACAAGCCCACTGTTGCGGTGTCCACAATGCATGCTCTTTACTCCAGGCTAACCGCAGGCGACAGTGAGTTGCAGTAAGTGGAACGCGTCTGACAGGTCTACGAGCATATAGACCAATTTGCCCTAAGCGTCTGTACACAGTCTGCCTTGAAATTGTCGTACCAGTGGTTGAAGAGAGCTGACGACACAGGTCTGAGCCTGTGCTCCGCCTGTTTCTTTTAGCAGTAACTGCCAAATACCGGTAATCATTCGGCGTTGTAACTCTGGGGCGACCTGTCCTGAACGTCTACTCACATTACCATCATCTTGGAATCGTTGCCAAAGCCTGGAGATGACAGTCTGGACAATTCCAAGTTCGTCTGATACTTCTAGTTTGGTACGCCCACATTCCAGACGGCCGATAATTCTACCACGTAAAAAATTATCCAAATGCGTCCTTTGTGTCATAACTATTCGGTTATTGCTCTAAAATGCTTATAAAGCGCCTGCGAACAATTTTACTTCTTTGCCTGTTTTCCTTTATTATCACTCTTTTACACTTTCATCATTGTGACGTACCATCGGTGCCATCTGGTTACTTCCTGAAATTTGCATATGATTCTTGAAGATGTGTGTAGTGATTTTACAGGTGATATATTTATTTTAAAGTTTGATTTCCGAATTATCCTTAATTTATGGACATGAGTGTATAACACAATAGTAAACGCGTCATCCCCTGTGTAATGAAATCCAATAATTGAATTGCATTATCAAAAGTTTAAGCTATTAACTTTATATATTTATCAAGGACACCTCGTGCTTTCTTTTTCCGTGATATAAAATTATCGCAGATGACTTTTGTAAATAGAATAATTTAAACCTCTTGCTTCCATTAAACTACATGACAAATTATTTTTCATCTTATAATTCATTAATTATTTTCAGAGTTTTAGATGAAAGCATTTATTATAAAAAATTCTTTATTTTTTTAATATGCTACATTTATATACTTTTAATTTATTGGAAAAAAAACAATTTAGGCCTATTAGTTGCTTTCAGATCGTGCATTCGGTTCGCTTGTAGTCTGAGTTTGAGACTGTAAGGTGCTGTCACTTTTCAAAGCAAGCATTCAAGTCACCTTGATTCAACTTTTAAGAAGCCACTATTCAGAAAAAATCAAAAATCCTAAATTTAAGAACTATTACCATTCTGTATTTTAAACCAGATTATATATGCGTTTATACTGATGGCTCCTTCATTGATCCGTCACCTAATTCTGAAAAAGAAATTTATTTTTGTAATTTTTCGTTTTATATTCCTGTATGAAACTAGTAAATTAGCATTGATGGAGAGATCATGTTCCCTTGCACGGCATTTAAGAAATTATTTGTACTCCACTGTCGTCCCCAAAGTGGTCGTATTAATAAGAGTCTAAAGCTCTATTACAAACTATCGCATCATCTAAAATTCCGACCTTAAAGAAATTTCATAAACGTCAGATTCCTCTTGAGGAAATGGAGATCACTCACAAAGTAAATCACTCAGGTTTAATTGTTTCTTGCACAGTGTAATATGTATTTGAGCATTCTAGGCCCTTAATACTCTATACAAAATTTTACATTTTTATGTATTCTTAAGTGGAATGAACGTTGTCTACTCTTACCTAAGAGCTAGCACATATTTTCAATTTTAAAACAAACTTAAAAAAAAGGCTACTGAAAAATTCAGATTTGCTAAATTTCCACATAGCTGTCAACCGATCATCTAAACCAGGGTTTCTTAAACTTTTTTTCCAGTGGCGACCCTCTTTTATCACTGAGATTGTTTCGCTACCCCCAGGATCCCATAATATTTACAAAAATTTTGTGGGACCCAATAAGTATTGCGCAAATCCGACAAACGCATGAGTGAAACTGTCAATTTTTTTCACTTTTACTGTAATATACTATTGCAGTTTTAGGTCATTAACTTTAATTTCTAATTTTAAGACACAGATCAATATGAAAATTTTAAATAAATAACAGACGATATATAACAGATAATAAATAACAGACGTCACGGGCAAAGCAAGGAAAATGAACGTTTATATTATAAAAAAAATGCGCCGAAACGTTTTCGTTTTTTTTCTTTGTCTGTACTGTCGTATCTTTATCTATTTTCAGAAATATTGTATAAAAATATTTGGTAATTGTAAAATTATTATAATAAGTTAAAGGAATATCAAAACTGTAAAATTTTGGCGACCCCCCTGCTGTAGGTCCCGCAACCCACAGTTTAAGAAACCCTGATCTAAACCATATCTGTAGCTTAACAAACTCGTCCTGAACAGGAACCACATTATGAAATGGTCAGTTTTGCGTGGAATATCAACAGCAGTGAGATATTGGGAATGCCGGAAACGTGATGATGTTAGATGTTACGCTTCAGAATTGATTAAAAGAAACAATTTACTGAGGAATTTAACAGTGTTACACTTCTTTTATAGTTCACGAAGAGCTCTGGTTGGAAGCGTGCCAAGAATAAAGATCAGATATTCGTTCACTTTACTGAGCAATTAATTATTGGCCAAAAAAGAACGTAGACGGAGCTCTCGTTGGAAGCGTTTCAGGAAAGTTGGATCTCCATTTTAAGGAAGAAAAGATTGCTTATTTTCTCATGTTAAAAATGAGTTCTTTTTTTTTTTTTTTTTTTTTTTTTTTTTTTAAATTTCTAGCTTTTTGAAAAATTTTCATTCTAGAATATTTTTGCTCTGTGTAGAAAGAGGTTTTAAGGAATCTCAAAATTAAAGTTGAAAGAAATCAGTTCAGGAAGTTAGTCGTTTGTTTCACTCGGTTCTTCAAATCCTATTCATGGTTCTATTCTTTTCGTTTCTCGCTCCCACCTCGCTAATCGGTCCCGATCCCACCACTCGTTCGATTTCTTCCGCTCTTCGCTCCATCCTCATTAACTGCTCTTGGTTCACCGATCGCTCTGGATCTGTTTCATCAAGTTTATTGTTAGTGAGCGATGAGTCATAAAAAAGAATCGATTCATTTCACTGAGAGAACCATTCTGATGCGATCACATAGCAGTGAGGTTTTGCCCATGATATATGACCTATTGACATTTTCAGGGTTTGACATTTTATGTATTCTTACCTGTAATTTTTTTTTTCCTTTTGCAATTGGAAATTTAAAAAGAATTGTGAAAAATGAAAGAAGATTAGATACGAAGCCATCGACACCATTTATTGATGGAAAAGATCCTTTAAACTGCAATAAAACTGTTCAAGAATCGTGTTGTTTGAAAAGTATATTTTGTTACACTTCGAAACATTTACAAAAAGAGGAAGATCTTTGTAAATAATGAAAGCTGTCGAGAAATCTTACTTGACTATTGGGAGCGTTTTAGATTATGCGAAATCTTGTAGCTGGCCTTTCTTTTTGAGCAATAATGAATTCCAAAATTCTGATGCTATGATCATTTAAGTTGTTATTTAAAATTATTTATTCAGGAGCACAATTAAAAAAAGTTTCCTTGTTTCTTAAAGTGTTGTTATCCGATGAATGACATCCATTTTTTATTTTCAGGATAAACTGCTTCAGCAAAGTCACCTATATTCCTCCATTTTACATGCAACCTTATTTATTAATAAAAGATTCTGGAACATTAAAGAAGTTGTTCTCGACCGCAAATGAAAGTGATATACATCGACAATCGACAACAATTTCGTAAGTGAAATTCATTTTAAATACCTATAATTTCATTTAAAAAAACGTATGTATTTACAAAGCGTAGTAAATACGAAATTTGTAAATTGAAATGAATCTGGTAGGAATACCTTACGTACCTTTTGATTTTATATGACATTATTAGAAATTCCCCTAAAAACCCCTCCCAAACGGGGGGGGGAAGAATAAAAATTTGAGCTAACCTAAATAATTTCAGCTTCCCTAGTATATTTCCGAGGAATTTGTTTTATATATTTACTAAAATGAATTGTAAATGAATTGCTTTTAGATTTATAATCACATTAATTTTGTCGATTGCAAATGTATTAGCGGTTTGTTCATTGCACAAGTAAATTGTAGGAACAGAATATATTGCCATTTCAAATTTCTGTTTTAAAGATAATTTTTAACGCATGGAAATTATTTCCTTATTAATTAGGAATTCGCGTGAGTAGTTGCCTCCTATTAGGCTATACCAGTTAAAGAAATAACATACTACATTATATTTAAAGGGGATGACGAATTTGTTCTAAATAGTAATAACTGAAACGCCAGCTTTTTTTCTACTACATTCATTTCATGTTATCTTATGTGAAAGCTCCAAGGAACAAAAATTGAAACATTTTATCAAATTTCCTACAGTAAATTTAAGTAAATGTCATTTATGCATTTAATGATCTAACGAGAAAACACATGGAACAAATTATGTGCTAAAAGTAGTTATTTTCTTAAAACGAAAAGCATGCTTTAAAACAGTAAAAGAGTGTTTTAGAATGAAATAAAGTAGGGAAAAAAGTAAAATAAAAAATGAAATAAAATAGTAAAATATAAAAACAAACACATATAAGATCACCGAATATCCATGAATTTACTCAAACGCAGATCTTATATTTTCCCATTTAGGCAAATTATGATAGTTCATAAGGTACTTCTCTCACCTTCTTGGCGTGCCTTCGTGGTGTGGTGGTCTGCACAGTGGGCTGATATTCCAGAGGTCCGCGGTTCGCTTCACGGCGAAGGCGTTGTTAATTTTTCATCTTTCCTCTTCCAAAATACCTAATGTCTCTACAAGTTTAAAATAAAAATATCAGTCTATCAAGTTTGTTTAGTTCACAGAATACGAAAAAACACAGAGCTATCTGCTTACGGGAAGGATGTTTTCATAACGAATTTCGAAGCGAAATTGGCTGATATTCATATTACACAAGGAAAACAAACACAACATCCATGCACCAAACGCAATTACTAGCGTTCAAACCAAACTACACTTTAAAGCAGACACTTCAAGCCCATTACCATTTCTCCTGTTTGCGAACGTAACGCGTGTCATTATCACTGCATGCGACTGATTTTTTCCACGTCATTAGAAACTTAGTTTAAGTTAGCCTCCATCCGCGTGCTATTCATAAATCGAAACACGTTAAGCGAAAATGAAGTAATGAAAAAAAAAAAAAAAATTAAGCGAGTCGACCTTTTTTCCGCATCTGCTGTTTGAATGGTTGCGAGTCAATACGGGTGACAGAAAATAACTTTGAAGTTTCCTATTTGAAAGTAACATACTATAATGTCTAGCACACCAGCCAATCAAAAGATTGATATAACATCAATCGACTTCATTATTACTTCATTGACAAAAGTTAATCTATGCTATTAAATCTGTGCGCGTCTGTCTGTTTGTTTGTTTGTTTGTGGCATCATCTCCTCTGGAACGGCGGAGAGTTGAGTTTCGAGAGAGGTATCCCGGATTCCGTAAATTCGCGGGAACCCACATCGATCATTTTCCTCTTTGTACGATTTATGATATTAATTAAAAACTTTGAAAATGCTAATTCTGGCACTCATTCTTTGGAGTTGTAATAGTCTCGCGCTGGAGATAAAAATCTACTTTATTTCGAAAAGTGTTGCCACTGCTCGCTTACAAATTATAGAGTTTGTTCATAAAAAATTTTACAAAATACGAAATAAAAGTAGTACTACCAAACAATAAATATGATATCATTACTATATAAGGTCAGATTCTGACGTTGAAGACGCACGCGAAGCATTGTGCATGTCGAAAATGTTTCGTTCATGTCAGCAGTTTAAAATAAATAGTTGTTGTTGGCAATTTTTTGTGTTAGATTAGAATAACTAACACGGAATGTTATTGCCACGTTAATTGTTTTATTAATATTGAGAAAAAACTTATTTTATTATATCAAATTTAAATTGTGACTTCATACGTATACGTATTAACCTGATAAGTCAAAAGTTTCTGTTTCCTGGTTTGGCAGCAAAAAAAAAAAAAAAAAAAAAGTTTGAAAATTGTTGTTGCTTGGAAAGACTGAACTGGTTTCATTCATACTGAATTTTTTTAATACATTTTCTTTTCAAGGTGTACATAGAACTTATAAATTTTGCTTTGACGGCAGCCCGCTCGTTTACTAATAAATTACTAGCTCCTCACTATATAACAATCATTGGTAATAATGCTACTCAATATACAGCGTTTCCAAATATTGCATGTGAACTGCTTAAAAACGGGCTTTAGAAAAGGATTAATTTTTTCACTTTTACTAAATTAGACTATTGAAGTAGTGTTTTTAGAAATAAGAATTCGTTTCTTCACTGTACACGCTAATATAACTCATAAAATCTTTTTATTGACTTATCGTCAGCATATTACATCTTATCTATTTTAATTATTGCTTTGACACAATTTTGTTATCGTATTTCCTTCTTTAAATCAGCGACAACATTGTCAACGTGTTAATGATGACGTTTGTTAGTTCGAATTCCAGAGTTATAAACTCAGACGTCTCAGCGTGTTTTGAAATACGTGTTCCCGTTTCCCCAACTTTTACTGTAACATTACCTTATCTTTAACAACATCCTTTCAGCCACATAAGAATGATTATCACCTTGTTTAACATTGTTCAGAACATTTCACATTTATCTGCTTGTTTTTAAAGTTTTTTATCCATATACTACATCAAATTTACATATTTAGAGCGAAACCTGTTTTTCGGGAAGGGATAGTTATACATTTTACACTGGCGTGTTTCTGTTTCATTTCATTATTTTATTATTCCTCTAATCAGTATTACCTTGTATGAATTATTTAATATTTCGGTACTTTTCCGTTTCGCGGTCCCAAATCTCGCCAAGCAGACTTTATTGGCCACAACATACATTACACACATAAAAAATTTTAACAAATGTTAATTCTAAGAATCTTTTATTTTGAAGGCATAAACATTTTACTACCGTTTAAAATTTTGTAAAAAGCCAGTAAATAAAGACAATAAATTTGTAAAAAATACATTAATTTAAGAATTTACTATGCTTTCACGGTTCAACATCCTGATTCGCCTGTTCATATCACGTGACCCCAAGTGATCTCATCTCACGTAAACTATGCTACAAAAATCTAATTCTCTCAGTAATTATCTACAATAGTTTCATATTACATCTTAATTTGGAATACAAGTTTAAATGAAACTTCATGAATTCGTACGAATAGCTTACTCAGAAATTATATAAAATCCCAGTGCTTTACTTCGCACTGAGAGTGCAAAGTGCTTACTTCTTCCCAGTGCTTACTTCTAATGAGAACTTCGCAATTCTCATTAGAATTGATGAGTTTAACCCTTGACTTTGGCTTCGGGTGAGCGGTGTGATTGCATCCTAATTGACGTAATTACCGCGAATGGCCTTAAGGCATAAAATTGAACTACCTGGTTAAAATTCTATGTAATAGTATGCCAATATTGAAAAAAACAATCAATCTGATAAGAAATGGCTGCTACTTGTTTTGAAAATGAGGCGTAAAAGATTACCAGCGAGGATTATCCGTTTGGCATCAGTTGTACCATTATTGGCGTCTTTATTGCCTGCGCCGGCAAAACAAAAAAGTACCAATATTTCATATTACCATTTCATATTTTATTTAATTGTGTTTATAAAGTATTTCTTATTACTTTATTTACGGCTCTTCCCTCTTACTAACGGCATTCACCAGGGTGCGGACAGGTTTTAAGTTCAGCAACTAATCCCTGATATTTCTTAGATCAAATCTGTGACGATTCCCTTCAGATAGATGCCAGTTTTGCTTAGCATTATTATGCTTAGTGTTATGTTTATTACGTTACGTTTATTATGCATCATTCTATTAACTAACATTAAGTATTGCGTGGTACTAATTATTGTGATATTATGCATTACAATAGTTATAGTCATTTATTTCTCTATACTAGAGAATAATATAATGTAACACAGATTTATTTACTTTACATTATATTGCAAGAAATTATAACGTTCCTCTCAAGTGTACTCTGGTTTTGTATGTAATAGGACCTCCAGCTAACACTGGAACACTTGTGTTCAAATCTAGAAAATTACTGCTGATTTTTTGTGTTTCCTGCTCGCAAAATCCTAATATTTCTGATATGTTTTATTACCTTACATGTGTATTTCATTTGTTTTTTCTTTTTGTGGTATTCGGGTCTTCTGTATCGGAAGTAGTCAAAGAATCTGAAAATTCCATACAAACATTTTATTATCTTTTCCGGAACCAGAAAACATGAGATATCATTTGCGCCCTCGTCGGAATTCGAATCACGGATCTTCCACTAACTAAACGTAATAACCATTTATGAAATCACGATAGCCCGGGTTAATACTACATAGCCTTAAAGCCTGCCTTTGTGGTCCTTTGCATAACTTCACTGTATTATTTTATGTGTCATACTTCAATTCATATGGTTTCTGTTTCTTCTAATTTTATTCTAAATTTTTTACTGTAATCTAGAAATGTGAATAGGTACATGTGTTTATGTCTGCTTGTATATATAATAATTAATAAATATAATACTAGTCGCTATGCGGCCAGCCTTCGTATGGCTTTGAAATGTACCAGAAAACAAACGTCGTATCCAAATACCTCTCGACAAACGTCCAGTATTCAAGTTTAAAAACTGCACAGAACTATCGCCCTTATTTTTCCGAGTGGCAACAGCGCTGATATCAGCAACAATGTGTCATTGTTGCTGTTACATTGTTGCTGTTGAATTATCGATTTGATGTGATTTCATCAAAAAATATAAAATTCTGAATTCTCTTAGCAATACACTCAGGAGTTAGATTAGCGCCATATGCTTTCATTTACTTTAATAGACCACATATCTGAAATCTTTGAATTCTTTTTTTTATTTTTAGATCAGAACGAAAAACGAAAGTAACTTCATGTCGAAATTTAATGTCACCTACAGACAAGAAAAGTGATACCTTTGACAAAGTTCCCTATAAAGCTAACAACTTTGTCTCTAACAGAAGAGTATGTTTACTTCTCCTTTTTCTCTTTTATTTTTCTACACTTTTCATATGTTTTATGCAGTGAAACCTCAGTTCATGAATTTAATTCTTTCCTGAAGATCGATATGTTCGTACCACGAAGTATTTACACTATAGGAATTAATGGATTAATCTCTTTCTGGACCGCAGCTGATTGTTTATTTAAACTTTCACAATAATATTTTCTGCTCATGTCCATGAAAGTATATGGACATAATTCATTCTAAGACACAAAAAGATAAACGCAATGCTAAACGCATAAAATAGACGAAATTTCCTTATATTTTACTGTAATTTTATGAAAAATACTGACTGGCATTAGTGGAAAGTGGTGAGGAAGATATAAGGAGTCTCTTTTCATCAGGTAACTTTCTTTCTGGGCCATTTCTTATCTTTTCGTTGTCTCTAAGCACTACTCGTCTCTGTTTGAGACTCATTAGGCCTCCGTTTCTCTCAAAAATTTGTCCAATGATATTTTTTATTGTCTTTCTTTTAAAATGTTTCTTAAGTAAGATTTGGCATAGGTAATAGAAACGCTTTTTCTGTGGCTTACTATTGCTTTGTCAGAATGATATGATTATTTAAGCTTTGTACCTTATTTCATTTTGCACAAATTTCGCAGATCGAAGACATAGGTTCGTCTTCCTCTGAACACACTTCCTTCACCAATTGCCATTTAGAAGTGCTTGTGAGATTCTTCTAATTCTTTCTTGTTGAGCTCGTTTTATAGCCTCTAGTAATTCTTCCACATATTCATAGTTAACTCCTAGTCCCATGATTTTACCTAGAACCACAAGAGCACAAAGAACAAAAAACATTCTCCGAATGTTTCTTTGGAACATAATCTAGTCATAATTTCCTCCAGGTCGAATTCGTGGTCCTGTAAGGCATTTGTGACAGACTTTGTTAATGAAAATTAAGGACGGAAAATTACACTTCTAGAAGTCTCTGTGTCAGAATACTTAGTCAGAAGTCCTTAATACTATGTCAGAGGTTATCTCAACACACCTTTGAAAATAATTTGTTGCCGACTTGAGTTTTCGTAACTCGAGAAATAGTGCATAATCTGAGAAGTTTTCGGTTTAGATAATTTGCTCATCAACCGATTTTATTCACTTGTGATCCGAGGTTCCATTGTAATGTCTTAATGAGCAGACGTATTGAAAATTGTTACATTTTCTTTTGAGCTGAATGAAAATTGCGTAGTCAGGAAAAAATATGTTAGACAGGCATGTATTTTGCTTTGAATTATTAAAATGTTTAATTTATATGCGGCGCTAATTCTTGATGTGCACACAGGAATCTACTTAACACGAGAAAATATAGTTTTAATAGAGCAATTAAAAAGAAACTCAGGCGATATTCATGCTTTTGAATACTTAAGCGTTCAATAATTCAATCGAATTAAAAAGAATCACTAAAATTTTTCATCCTTATAATCCTGTAACTAAAACTAAAATATGTCGGCCATTTATATCCCTTTGCATAAATTTGCATGTTTAGTAAATTTTAGATTTGAAGTTTGCGATAGGTTTTCAACTAATATTCATAAGCCACATATTCTCATATTCTCTAAATGGTATATGATGATATTTAAAATTAGGTAAAACACAATCTTAGTTTGGCATAGTTTTTTAATAAACTTCTATAGACTTAAAAGGCGATCTAACTCAGATCCTTCTTCATCAGGAACAAAAACATTTTTTCCTAAAGAAAAGGAACTCTATGCACACACAGTGCCCACGAATCGATGATTATTCAAAATCTGCGCCTGAGCTTATTTATTTTATTTCATTTATTTAATTTTTTTGGGGGTAGGGGACCTTCTTCCAATTTGATGTAATGATGTATGAAAATATATATATTCTTTAAGTGATGAACAGTGACACTTTATTGATATGTGATTCCATATTAATAAACCATATCAGACGAATATACATACTATGTCAATTCAGCGTTTCTGAATGTATGTTCCGCGGACCACAAGTTGTCCTGAAAGCCTGCCTTTGTGGTCCTTTGCATAACTTCACTGTATTATTTTATGTGCCATACTTCAATTCATATGGTTTCTGTTTCTTCTAATTTTATTCTAAATTTTTTATTGTAATCTAGAAATATGAATAGGTACATGTGTTTAAGTCTGCTTGTATATATAATAATTAATAAATATAATACTAGTCCGCTATGCGGCCAGCCTTCGTATGGCTTTGAAATGTACCAGAAACAAACGTCCTCTCGACAAACGTCGTATCCAAATACCTCTCGACAAACGCCCAGTATTCAAGTTTAAAAACTGCACAGAACTATCGCCCTCATTTTTCCGAGTGGCAACAGCGCTGATATCAGCAACAATGTGTCATTGTTGCTGTTACATTGTTGCTGTTGAATTATCGATTTGATGTGATTTCATCAACAAATATAAAATTTTAAAATAAAATTAATTCGAACTTTGAAAAAATCGCTTCGAGGTGCACTGGCTCTTGTCTACATGCACCCCTATGTACCAAATTCCGTTGCTCTGGGTCTATTAGCTTACGCGCAGCACAAACGAAAGACACACACACACAGACAGACTCTTCTTTTTATTATATGTAGAAATATATTATATAATATATATAACTGTGCTAATGCAATGGGCATATTTTTGTGTAATAATTATAACGTTCAAAATTGTAACACCTTTTTTTAACTGTAACAGTTTAATATAGCTATCAGATACTGTCTACTCTGCCATCCCGAGTATAGGCTGTTGGCAGAGCAGATATTTTTATTCTTTCCTCTAGGATGAGGGCTTAAATTTTGTGCGGCGTTCACGCCTAGGTCGGAAGTCATCTCAGTTGTCTAAAGCAGCGGTCGCCAACAGGTGGTCCTTGAAAATTTTTTGATGGTTCACAGAAAAATTGGGATAATATTTATATTTTTATGAAGATTCAGTTTAAAAAATGACGAGTAACAAAACCTATTATGGAATATGGATTATACCTTTTTTTAAATGGATTTAAATTTTTTTTTTAATTTTTTATGGATTATACCTATTTTAACGAAATTCCTTCAATGAATTTAGAGACTTTTTAGTTACTTTTGCAGGTGTATCTAGCGACATTTGAAAGTGAGAATTGGCATTCATGTATATGCTGCTGTTTTCAATATTAGCGCAAAGTGGAATTCCCTTTCCTTTTGAATTACGAACATATGCTAATAACACGCCTACCAGCGGCCGAGCGGTAAAGTCGCTGAACACTGGTAGTTCGGTCCGAGGTTCGAATCCTGCGAACGGGCTGGCTGCATGAGTGTTTTCGTGGTTTTTCCCATGTGTAACGTGTATACGAGCCAGTTTCCCTTAGAAAGTCCTCCACGAAGGCATCCCTCCCCTTAGGCAGATAGCCCTCGAGGCTTTGCCATAATCACACACATACACACACACGTTAATAACACAGTTTTTCTCCGTGTCAATAGGCAAGTTGATGGATTTTTATGAGAACCATCTGCATTCTTGTTTATAATTGCATCACTGAACGCTTCTGTTTTTGTTTTGTCTAACTGTTATCGATGGCACCATTGCTGAGTAAGCGATGATTATTATGTTTAAAATAATTAAAAATTGGCGGCATAACACTTTCAGTTTATTGATATTGCTTTGCGTTTGCCGGTTTGTTCTTGCTTTTCGTGAAGTTCCTTTTCAGTGATATGGAAATGTGAAGCTTTCTGTACAAGAAGGTAAGATTTTTGTACTTTTCATATAATTTTTCAATATGCACGAAATATGTGTATTAATGAGATGTTAATAGTGTTTTAATTTTTATTCATAATCAGGGGCGTAGCCTGAATTTCCATAAAGGCATGCTGCTGAACAGCAATGTTTCGATAATTATATTAACAAATGAAAATTAGAATTGGAAAGTTGAATATTGTTTTTGCGTATTAATATGTTGTCTTTAAGGTCTAATTTAAGGGGCTTTTTTTAATTCATATTAGTGGTCCGCCAAATATAAAATTATATAGGTAGTGGTCCGTGAAGTTCTAAGTGCTGACGACCGCCTTGTGATCCTTCTAAATTTCAATAAAAAATAATTTTAAAAATAACAAACAGTTATTGAATGAAAAAGAACAGTTAATAGAACTCTTGAATGACACAGCACTTAAAATGAAATTCCAAGCACAGTGCATAATTTCTGGACCTCATTACCAGTCAAAACAGAAAACAGTGAATGATATACTGGTGCTTTAAAAAATTATACTTAAGATCGCTTCTGCGTATCTATATGAGAAAATATTTTCTTCACGAATTCAATTAGAAACAAAGTATCGAAACAGACATCATAAATATGTGCCGATCTCAGACTTAAGTTTACTGGCATACATTTAAACATGGAACAGCTGGCTGTGTAAAAATTGGAAGGCTTATCCATCTCATTAATTACGAGTGCCAACATTTATTTAATTATTAGTTAATAAGGTAAAGCTTATACAAACAAATTTAATTTTCCTTCGGTTAATGTCATTACACCAATACAAAGTTAAACAAAATTTTTTATTAATTACACTCTAAAATTTAAATGTTCAGATAGTAACATATGCTAAAATAATTGATTTGGAAATAGGTAAGAGTAAAGTGGTCCGTAGAACATTCTAATATATAAAATAAATATATTAGAATTAGTTATAAAATTGTAACTACTCAAAAAATTTTTGAGAAATGCTGTCTTAATTAAATTTTAAAAAATTGTAAATCAATAAATATGTCATGCACACTAATTTAAATTAACATGAAAGCTCTCTAAATAATATATATTTAATCTTTTTATTCTAAAAAGCTATTAAGAAAAACATTCTGTATTAAAAAATATGTCTTAAACCAAGAAAATAACTTTAAAAAAAATATAAACAAATTAACAGCAAGCTTAAATTTATATGACCTTGAAAGAAGGATCAGTAATCTGTTAAGCAAACTGCGGATTTTGATTCCTTCTCATTTTTTTATATTTAAATCAGATTTCTTTCACGCACCGCGGTGACCAATGCCGGTTTCTGATTTTTGATTAGTTGATGTATGGGGGCATGGTACGAAATGAAAAAAGAATATATAAAGAAGTATAAAAAAGCGAAGTTAAATTTATTATCTTCTGGGTCAGCTGAGCGGAAGAACTTCAAGTGTGAGTGCAGAGCCTTTCGAGGCGTCTTGATGCCCAGAAATGGGCAAAACTTTCGCCTGACGTCACCCATGAGGCCCACTTTCGACACAGCCTTCACTTTGGCCGCGAAAGTATATGAACGGGGATGATGCACAAATTACCATATGAACCACAACGTGCATGAGTATCTCGTTATTACCACAGAGAAATATAATTTGCATAAAAAAAGACTGTACTCAAAACGTCTTTCGAGACACGATTTTTTTTTTTTTCAAAGACTAACAACTAAATGAGTCATTTTGCTTGGGAAATAAGAAGCCACCGGATATGGTGAATATATAATCTTTAATTGTGTTTAAGCTTTTCGGCTATCTGAATTTGTTCATGTATTTTATGTATTGTTGATTCTTAAACTATAATTGTGTTTATGCACGAAATTTTTGTCAGTAAGTGTATTAAAAAATTTCTTGGGGACTTGTGGCAATACGAAAAAAGCTAGCCAGCAAGTTATGTAGAATTAAAATACCAGAAGAAATTAAAGTAGGTGCGCCACGAATGAATAAAATGCATGCAGACACGTGCCAAATTAATATATTAACCATACCCATAAGTGGCTTTTGTTAATGTTCTATTGCATAATTTCTCCCCCCCCCCCCCCCCCGCCTGGAACCTAGCTACTGTGTAAAATCAGTACTTGGCTGTGCACGTAAATGAGTATAGTGTTAACAGTCGCATAATCTTTCCTTTCTCCGATTTCTTCTTTGAAAGACTTACAAGGCCCAAAAATTTTCACAATCAAGCTCCTATTTGGCAAAAATTGAGGAGACGGTTAAATTTCCCTCCACGTAATATACCCGCAAAAATGACACCCAATTCAATATTAAAATAATATATGTGTTTACACAAAGGAATATAGTGACATAAAAGAAATTGAAATGTGGTCAGATAATCGAGAATGCCGGATATCACGGATTATTAAAGGACACGCATATTAACATCATTGACTAAAAAAAAAGACATTTCATTTTAAAAATGGCGCAGTAAAAGACTAACATAATAACTATACGCTGTAATCAAATTTATTTCATTATGCTTACAATAAATAAAATTATTTTACTAAAAATTAAAGGCATGTCCATTTCAAGATACACTAATAATTTTAAATTGTTAAAGAAATATGCTTTGATGGGTACTAGGATGTGGTCATATGCACTCTGCAAAAATTCAACAAATTGTACTGGAAATTAACAATTTTAGTGTCACGACTTGATCTAATGCTCTAAGCATAGTCACGTGATTTACATAGAATAGTAAGGATAATGTATCTTGAATGATACACACAGTGTAATACTAATAAGAATAACAATAATTTTTACTATGAATTAAATATTTATAGTATGTCTGATTAAAGAATTTAAATGAACTGTACAACACACGAAAATGTCTGATTAAAGAATTTAAATTTCGATTTCTCGATTATACTATGTCTGATTAAAGAATTTAAATAAACTGTACAACACACGAAACATGAAACAAAAGCTTTGGCCACAAGTCTAAGCAGTCGAAATAGTTTTTAACAAAATACCATTTAACCAAATCAGTATCTGACTGCTTACCGTAAATCTGGTTTATATCTTAACCTTCACGGTTTTATAGCAGATAATCATTTTTTATTTACTAGGGCCATTTAACTAAGTAATCAGATAAAAGGAAAATCTCGAAACAAAATTATAACAGGGTTTTTCTCCACCTATCTAACATTAAACAATAAAATGTGAATATCAATAATAGATCGAATGTTCTTGAATCTTATTTAATGAAGTGACCGCGTGGAACACAGATTTCAAGAAAAAAATTAAGCTCTTTTTTTAACATATTACTAAGATATCTTTTAATATTCGAGATTTCTTTTAAAAGGTGCTATTTGTTATTTATCAATCTGTCGCAAAAATGACAAAGAAAATAAAGTATAAATACAAGAAACTGGTATCTGAATTTCTGACATTTATACGTATTACACCTTTTTGAGAGTTTTCTACGTTAAAATATGTGCATCATATTTATGATAGGAAATCATACAAGGATTTCATTTTTCTCTTTAATCTGAAGTAACTAAGCTTCATTGCAAAGCGAATACTAGCAGTTAATGCAGTTCGCAACAGTTTAGTTGCACCCTAACACTCCAAATATAGAGGTAAAGAAACAACCTTACACTAGTATAGAATCTTATAGAACGCTTTATCAGTTTTGGGTGTAACTAATCATCTTCGAAAAGCAAAATCTTCTGGCTGTTGCTAAAAGTGGGACCTATATTAGTCACCTTCGAAATCAAAAAACGTTCTGTGAAATTTACGCCATTTATACGTGTTTTCCCTATGCATTTCCTTTCACAGTCCGATTAACTATGATGAATATGTTCCATTATAATCAAAGACCACTAATGGCTGAAAGGTTAAGACCGTTGAATACTGGAAGTTCGCACTTGGGTTCGATGCCAAGCGAATAGGCTGTCTGCGTGGTTGGTTTTCGTAGTTCCCCCCCCCCATGTCTAACGTGACTAGTGAATAAGTTTGCTCTAGAAAGTCCTCAACGCCCTTTCTTTAAGCGAATTGCCCTCGTGTGCTTTGCTGTATTCAAATAACCTAACTATCCATTATAATCCACATCATGTGTTTATTACTTACGAACAATAAATAAGACCTAAAAAAATAATATGTGTTAATGGCAATACAGTCCCCTTTTCTTGTTTGACA